GATTCGATCGAGAAGAATATATATATATATATATATATATATATATATATATATATATAAGTATATATATGAACAGAGGAAAACTAAAACGCATTAGCGCCACATATAGTACACAAAAGTGATTAAAGACAAAACTTTTCGTCTTATAAAAATATTCTCGGTACTCGAAACCCCCATCGCGGAATTTCCCATAAAAATCTGGATATTTCGAGAGCACTCCGCGAATTACCTAAGAGCTGTTTACGCACGTGCCAGGATGTCGTAAGCCGTGCCCCCATGGCGGCTCGTTCGATTACCGCTATTGCCATTACAAACTCACTATTATTAGTACGCGAAAGCAGCCCATTCACCAATTATTTCAGCTAAAAGATCCAGAAAGGATTTAGCTCTCTAACGAATTCGTTGAGCGTCACGCTAAATTTTTTTTCGATGATTAATTTTACACCAGGGATAGATGCGTCGCGAGAGCGCCGTTTACGAGTGTCGAGGATACTGACTTGTCGGATAAATTATGATAGGAAAGGCAAAGAACTGGTATTACAGGAGCGGAAAAAAAAAGTTTGTAAATACGCAAGACAGCGATCCCTAGTAAAAGCAGGCTCGGTGGCAAAAAGTCGAGCCTGAAAAAGCACTGTCAATGTACACGCGCGTGACAGCTGCATTGGCGTATAAGTTTTCTTCCAGTTTCGTAAGTCCCGTGGCCTGGGAAGGGTGTCGTGTCAGGATACGGAAGGATCACGTTTAAGGGACGCGGTACAAATGAGTTTAGGAAGCGACACGCCTCTTTACGGCTGTTTTAGCACGTTAAGCGTCTATTTACTTTCCTTCTGTCTCCTTTAAACTGCTTAAACGGCAAAGACTCTAACCTCGAAATAGAGTATCGTTCTGCCATTCAATCTATCTCTGAACTTTGACTTTTACCTTGCTCGAAATTATCGTCTCCACTGTTCCAAGAAGACGCATACAACGCATCCCGAAGGAGACGAAGATACATTCTAGGGAAATAGTTGCAGCATCATAGAAATGACCTTGCCGAGGGTGCGGAAGAAAAATACGTATGCAAACGAATGAAAGGGTTCCTTACCTTTTATAAGAGGGAGAAATCTAATGCGGGCGTTTTAAGAGATTTTACTCTGTACTTGTAATAGAACAATTCGCCAGCATCCCTTCATTCTGGATCGTGTTACAACTGTGTATCTGTGTGTGTGGTCTGTACCTTATACTGTGTCTTGTTACCTTCTCTCTTTCTCTCCTGTGCTCTATACGTGCTGTCGCGTTGGCGGTTGATTCGTGAACGTAGGAACACTTGAAATTTGAATGCGACCAAAATGACAGCGAATGGCACTCAGAGACAGTGCAAGCTTCGTCGAGAATACGTGGACAGAAGAAATTAACGCACGGTAGAAGAAATGCAAGGTAAACATTGCCACACTCGTTAGACACTCCTTTGTCGTCTGGCTTTTTGAAGTTTTAGTTGTTCCCTTCGAAAAATTGTACGCCGCTCGTTTCGCCGACACTTCGACTCCCTGGAATGCCTCGATCTCGAAACGGCGTCCGTTCGCCTCGGAACATTTCTACTTACACTTCATTCCACGATGCACAATTTTTACGTCGATTCACGACAACATTCCGCCTTGAACTCACAGGTATGATTTTTGTTCTATTCTCGGTCTAAGGTCACGCATAAACTTCCACCAGAACTCCACCCCATCTTCATCGCACGACTGACTGCGAGTAACTTGAGATTTTTTCTCACACTGTATTAATTCATTACCCGAACACCTTGCTTAGATTCTCATAGGAATATCTGAGATATCGACGTTAGATATCGATAGAATATGTTTGTCGAATCTATCGATGCGGGTTGACAGTGCACGTTACAATATGACGTGAATGCGAAACATAACCTGTAACGCGATTGAGCGTCCTTATGGATTTAAGGCCAACCGTAGACTGAGGAACAGTCTGTTGTCTCGGGCTTTGCGAATAGCTATCGGACGTGACTATACACCCTGTTCTCTGATCAGACTTGCCCCTTCGTTCCTGAATTCGTGCTGGATCTTCTCAAGCGATTATTATAGCATATACTAATATCGTAACCTAAACGTCAAACAATAGAAAACTTACAGACGTCTATCGCGGCGGCAGGTCCAAATAATTCGAGACACTCGCAACCAGTGTTATAAATAAATATTTTTGTTGACAAACCTTGATGATGCTAGTTACACAATGCTTCATGGATTTCTTCTTAGAATTCCTTCGTTTCAGCTTCAGCACTGGGAAATCTCCTATTCATCGTAATGAACACGGACGCACATGTTCTTCGGATCGAAAACCAAGAATGTCATTTGTGTCGCGATTCGATTTATCAGACACATACTTTATTTTCAAACTTAATTAGACTTATAGTTTTTCGATATTACGCAATCGCCACTGTTCTCACGAATCATCGGACATGTCGCCTTTCTTTTTTTTTTATATCAGGCAACAAAGTCCTCGGCAGGGATTTTCAAGGGTGCTTTCTGACAAGAGCCTCTCACCCTGATTGCCCAATATTAATTCCTTCCACATTCCCGACGGTGGTGCTATCAATTCTTTTTTTCGACACTTTTTAAACTCTACTGGCTTCTCAAATCGTACCATTCGTACATTCGTCAACTTCGGAAAAGTGCCGTCGGATACTCCAACGGTTCAACGACCAACTGCTTTTTACATTGTTCAACGAAGATTCACCAGTTTAACCTATATCATGCTTCTTCTCTTCTGACATACGTCTAGCGACAATTTCAAAGAAACATTATGCAATTTTATTAAACCTAACCTAACCCAATACTTGTTTATCTACTCTCCTCTTTTTCTAACAGTATCGGAAGCGTCGAATGACAGAAACAAGAAGACGCGTATTAGAGAACGCGTGAACGTCTCACGGCGTCCTCCGTCGCCACTGGGAACGAAAATAAAATCCGAAAAGGTAAGGGCGAACTGTGGAAGAGTCTATTCGCACGTTTATCTCATCGACGCCTGAACAAAAATAATCCGAAATTCGTTAATGAAGCTTTTTACGAATGAGAATATTCGCGATGAGTATCGAGCAGCGTGTACTCGTGATAAACGTAATTTTCTCGATGCTTTCGCGAGGCGGGTCAAATTTTTAAGGTGGTCTCGTAAACTTTATTCATTAGGAAACTGCACGTGTGTACTATTAAACAGTGCCGTAGGCATTTAGGTATAACTGGGTGCACGGTACACGCTGGACTCCCCGCCGAGAACAGAGCAACACCTTGCCAGCCCAGTGAAGTCCCACCAGTTCCACTCTTTATCACACTCTCTCTTTTTCACTCTAAGAGAATCCTTTACCCATCTCTCTCTTTCTCTCTCGCTCTCTTTCTGGCACAGCAGTGGCATTGTGTATCCATCGCTGTATATACGCGTGCCAAGTTTCTATGTAAAAGAAGAGAGAAGCTACACTGGCTGTATCGAGTGGAGGGGAAATAACGCCTTCCAACCCGATTGGTTGAACTTACCAAGGAAGGGGGAGAAAGGTCAGGCATCCAAAGCCACACCCCTCTTTCATGTTATGTACCTATTCAGCATCCCTTGTCAGCTTTTACCCCGTTATCCTTCTCTTTCTTATTTGTCCTTTACTTTTTACTCCGAGAAATCCTCGGAGCCAGCAACCACATCCATGCAGAGACCTGGACCATTTGGATCCAAAGCCTATGTCAAGGTGGATGGTACCGATTCTAGATAAAAGGCAGATGAAAAAATTGGAAATGGAAGATGGTCCATCTACAGAATCTTGTAGGCGAGTCTTCCTGATTGGCCAATCATTCTGGCTAGATCTTTTCGCAATAATTATCTCAGAGTCGTTACCAACTCATTTTGCTTTCTTAGCGAAACGAAGAGGAGTAAGTTTCCGAGGAATGGCTGCATCTTGAAAAGATATGTTTATCTAATTGTAATCTCGCGAATCACAATCCCTGCTTTGAATCCGCGAACGAATATTATGTACAGGACGTTTCATGCATTCCTGGGATAGGCTTGTGTTTCTTGATAGGGTAACTTGGTCTTTCTTTGAATTCCGTTAAAATTAATGCTGAGACTGAAAAAATATATATGGGTATTACGTTTTAAAAATATTTTATATGAACCATGTAGGCCTTCCAAAAATATGTATATCATAATCGCTGAAGATGTTTTATGACTTATGAGACACCCGCTCTTCCGAATGGCAGGTACCTACCTACATTTTATGGCATGAAAATCGTTTCCAGATGTCGGTTATTTAGCAATGCGGTGTGCTTTCGCACTGCACGGAGTTCCCACGGCTTAATTACTATGCTGCTACACGAAAACTACTCGGTACAATTGTCGCCAGTGTCTTCTGCCATCGCCGTTTGACGTCCAGACACTTCCGAGGAAGTTGGCCTTCAATATGCAATTGGTTCCGGTCTTCGAATTCTCACGAATTGCTGCCAGTGATTTTTTAAAACATGATTTAGTAGATTTGACAGTGGATTTTGTTTTTTCTGCTTGATATAATTATGTATGTCATTGAGATCTAGCGTAATAAAATGCGACGAATAATACTTTACAAAGCTCTCCTTTTTTTCAAACTTATTAACTGATCTGAATAAAAGTATCGATACTATAGGTAGTGATACTGTATTTTCATATCTAATTGTCATTAATTAATAATCGATCGATCATATATATGAGTTGTATCTTCATAAGATTGTAATGAAAAGTTGTGTTATTGGAATAACTTCTAGAAATTGATGAGTAAGTCAGAACTTGAACAGTATAGAAAATATTTGTTCTAGATATTAAAAATTTATTTGCTGTGTTGTAATTTTACATCAGTATTACTGGACCAAAAAGAAAAAAGTGAAGTGAACGTTGTAGGTGAAGAGATTGAACTGCTGTTCTTTGTTCCATCTTTGAGCATGCGCATAGAGTTACCCGGCACATGTAACAACCGTTAAATCGATTTACCTGCCATCTATGTTTTCCCTTCTTAATTCGAGATATAGGTTAGGCAGTTTGTATATTATTCTTCAAAATGCATCATAAGTGCATGCTGTTGGTTTAACATAATTGAAATAAAATTAGGACGACAGAGGATTATTAAGAATGAAAGTGGAACCGATGGGCCATTTGCCGTAAGTAAAACAGAGAATGTTATTACTTTTATGATTGTAATTGCAGTACCATAAGTGGAACTTTTTCGAATGTTAACCTTTTTTTGATATGTATGAATATTTGTTTTTGCATACAGCTACTGTAAAGGTCTATGGTCAGTAATATCAGGAACAACATGCCGTTGTGACAAAGATCTTGTTGAGGACGAAATAAAAAATGCCACTGAATTGCTACAGAGTGGATTAAGCTTTTTTAAGAAATATTCAGAGTCCTCTTTACAAAATGTTTATAAGACTGACCCTCCGCCTCGAATGTATGATCTGTTAGGAAAACTTGCTCCTCTATTGGTCAGTATTTTGTTGTATTTTTATTTTAAATTAGTAGATATCTACAGGATGAAAAATGTATCGTTTGTTTGGTTTTAGAATTTGGATGCTCAGATAACATGGGACTTGGTCTGCAATTTTATGCTCTATGAGTATCGAAATTGTGCAGAGACATTTGCCTCACAACTCGTTGATAATGCTGCTGTAAAAACATTGATAGAAGACATTTGGAATTTTTATTACTCTGAAAGAATCACGCTTATCAAATGTTTGAAACTCATGGTGGAGTACCGTGACAATGAGAGGCATCCGTACCAAAAGCAGTTCATCAAATTCTTTGATGAAGTTCTTCTTGGAAATTTACTAAAATCTGTTCAGAGTCAAATCGAGGCATTAAAGTTCATAAATCCACCTGTCAAGTCCCAATTATTTACTGACGAACATTTGCATCGGCTCTACAATAATAGTTTAATAGAGATGCGAGAATTGCTGCATATATTCACAATTATTCTCGATGATATTCACGTGCCAGACAATGAATTCAACAAATTATATGGAAGCATCAGTGTAAGGATCATTACCTCCGCAGACCTCCAAAGTTGAACCAATCTGCCAAATTCCATCCAAGGTTTATACAGAAATTTCAAAATTCTAGGGTGAACCACGACGCCTCATAACTACAAAAAGTTACGAGGATAAGGAAGCAGTTGCAAAAAAATTAGAAGAAATACAATACAGCCAAGTAGCATTGCTACTGGTAGGATTAGATGTTACTAAACAGTAAGTACCAATTTTTCAAAATCACATGAGATAAAAGTACAACTCTATATTTAAACGTCTTTTTTAGCAACAATATGGACGAATGGGTAAAAGGAGTGCGAAGCAGTATGCGCGACTTTTTCGAACATAAATGTGTCCGCGACAGTTCTCAACACGACGGACCATTATTACTTGCTTGGATGCTAGCAAATTACACGATAGACCCAGACAGCCCAGACACATTGAATAATTTCCGAGTATTTGGCATCCGCGCAATACAGCTTGGAGTCTTCCATTACCTTAAAAAGTTAATGGATAGCGAGATGATCAAGGAGGATACTCACTATGCTATGGTAGTGAGAAATTGCGTCTACAATCTTTTAACATCCCTTTGCATCTTCTTCGATGAGGACAGAATCGGCACCCTGAACGGTGTATTCGATGCTGTCGCATCGGTGCTCAGGTATCCAGAAACTGCTGAAAGATTCTGGAAAGAACAGGAACAAGATGGTTTATGGTCACTGTATAAATGTGCTGTTGAACTATTTCCATGTAAATTCGAACCGCTGACAGTTCTCGCAACGGGACTAGCAGGGGCATCTAATTCTAGTGCAAAAAAAGTACGTCACCCGTATAATCGATTCTCCGAATGATTATTGACGAGAGTAAAAATCTAAAGCTTATTATTTTTTTCCAGATTTTAGCAGAACTAGATGATTTACCATCAGTGACATTGCAGTGTCCACGATACCGTGATCATAACAAACCTATAAAACCATACGAGCGTGAATGCACGATACATAGGAATAATTTCACTATTCCTGCGAGGTGTGATCACGAAACGATCGAATCAACGAGCGAGTGGGACATTATTATTTGGCGTACGAAAGCTAATTACTGGGACGTGTTTCATCACAAGATAGAACAACTCTTCTCTCAGGCGGGCACAGGCATTGTAAACGTAAGTGATGCGAAGATGCATTTGCCTGAGCACGTTTGGCAAGGATTCAAATTATTGGAAACTCTTTTAAAGACTGACACTGAAATATCTCAGAGTATGGTTATTCCTACTGAACTGAGCTTCGAAGTCATCAACAGATTTTCTTATCCGATGCTTCCTATAAATATTTATAAAATTGTCGCTGAATGCATCTGTATATCGTCCAAGCTCATACTCAAGTATCCAGAAGATATTTTATCCCGGATGCACACCGAAGTCTATCCAAGATTCAACAATTGGAATCAAGGAACCACCGAATTCGCACAGGCTGTTTCATTCGACGGTGGTCTAATAGCATCTTGGTTATCTGGCATTGAAACCATCGAACATTCATATCCTGTTCTAACTGCATATTTGGATGTTCTCTCCAACTATTTAATCATCAAGCACAACAGGGAAGCCATGTACACTGTTGAGATTCCAGGAATGGTCTTTCTCTTGCAGGGAGTCCTACCAAAAATGGATTCTTGGTATTTCACATCCGATTCCGAAAGAATCAACTTGTGGCTTAAAAGTATGTTCTGCCTTCATTATGCTTTGGATTCGAATTTTTCAAAGGACGACATTCGAAATAAATTACAACTGATAGTTGCGTATAGTCTTCTATACTTGGAGCCTAGACACGCTTTGCTGACACTAGTCCGGACTGGAGAACGCGCCTTGCAGAATAAAATGCTTACGGAAACGGATTGGATAAGTGGAAAAGGTTTTAAAATAATAAAGAGCGTTCAATTGGCATTATCGATAGTCAACAGATTATTGATGTTCAGAAAAAGCCTGGGCTTAGGACTGGAAGAACGATCGCCTTTAGAAATTGCCTTATACACATCACCATGCTTGCCAAACGGACTCCTGATAGTTCCCACCATAGTGAACTATCTTTACGTCTGGTTCAGTCCCTCTTTGCAAGCAATGGCTGTGCGACTATTAAAGAAATTCGCCGAAGGATTCTCAATGTCTTTATTGGTTTGTATGGGCATGGATGGGACTGCTATACGGGAGACTTTCGCTTCAAGATTAATGTCGCCGACCTGCTCGGCTGAAGTCAAGGTGGCCATATTGGAATTGGTTGCTGTGTGCCTTGAAAGACAACCGGGATTGACCGAGGCTTTATTTAATATAATGCATCAGGCTGAACGGAAGAGAATCTTTCCACGTCCTGCTGACGAATTTCTTACGCAGGGCTGCAGCCAGTTTTTGGATCTATACCTCAAGCGAATTTTCAATGAGGAGGACATCATTGATGACAAACTGTATAACAGTACTATGGGCCTCTTCCATGCTATGTGGTACCATCGTAATGAAATTTTAGTAAATTACTTTCGCAAGAGAACTAATTTCTGGACTCATCTAACCGCCTCGCTATTCCGGGAGCTGATACCAAATACTAGAGGATATTCGCAATTGATTGACATTATCACGCTGGAACTGTTTAAGGGTCCATTGCCGGAAAGTGATTTCTCTGCAAATCTTAAAAAACTTGTTGATAAGAATCAGAAGTATCTTGAGCGTCTGGCTAGATATGTACTAGATGGAATTCCAGAAGAATGCCCACAAGAATTACTGGACAAATCAATAGACCGAAGAAGATCCGAACGTCCACTTTATGAAGTTAATTTAGAGTCCTGGTATCATTTTATCGTAACACTTACCGACGAGAAAATTTGCAAAAGTTTTCTTATCCATCTACCTCAAGCTCAACTGATAACCAATCTTGCACTGGATAGTTTATCAAAGCACATAGACCAGCCGTGCAGTGGAAAAGTTTTGCTCCTCCTCGCATCGCTGTCGTTAAGATGCGTCTCAGCCTGGAAATTGCACTGCATCGGCGTTTCTCAAGATTTCAAAACTAAATTAGTGGATTTGATACAGAAGATCGTTCAGTCTTATCCAGAGTATGGGAAACCGCTGAGACAGACACTGATATCATTACTAGTAGCATGCATACAGTTGGTGCGTAGTACTCTTGCAGAAGATGTTGCAGTGTTGGAGTATCTTTTGGGATATTCTAGTGTCTTAGCTACGACTGAATTAGGTGAACTTAAGGAAGCTGCGAATGACCAAGAACGTGCTCAACGTGAATTGGCTGAAAAGGGAATGGATAACAGTACAGCAGCTCTTCGGGCAGCAAGGGGTTGCATTCCTGCTACCTTGGCGATAAGTATGGTCACCCAGCTGCTTCAGTTGCACGTGGAGCACTCGAAACACCGTAGAGCATCCTGTATGCAGTTGCGACAGATGATTCCGGAATTAATGTCCTGCGTGGGACTCACTCTACAACGACATTGTTACTTCAAGTTTAGCAGAGCTGCCCTAACCGCTCTAGGAGTAGTGGCGAGGTCACCGTATAATTCTCATTTGATCAACGAGGATTCCATTGCTAAATTGTGGCTGAACTTGATCCCACCAGCAGATCTTGGGAACAGCATGCTGGATTCTCTGTACGATGTAAGATATTGCTATTTTTTGTTACTAGCTCTTTGCCAATCACCTTTGCTTTTCTCTCATAGGATTTCAATGGTAGCCGCTGGCGATGCCAAGACTGGTGGCCGCTGTACACCCTGGGACTTGAGTTTCTTACAGGGCTCGTTATCAGCGAAGCCGGTACGTTTTACGCCTCGGCCATAGTGATGTTTCTGGGCTCTCACGAATATCAACTGATGGAAGTATCAACCTTATTGAGACACACAACTGATCCATTGGCTGCTGATTTGATACAGAGCTTGGTAGCTCTCGCTTCTTCTTTGGCAGTACGTCCAGTTATTTGGAATTCAGTGCAGCCAAACGTACGGGAAACTCTTATTGTAAGTAGTTCACAGCTGATAGCACCAGCTGAAGATAACCTGTTCCCTTCATATGCTGAATATATTTTAAAACATAACCTAATTATTTCAGAAATGTATGTACCTCGCGTACGATAGTACCGTCAATCTTCTATTACGCCCCAGAATCCTAAAATTCATAATTGACGGCATAAGTGTGGAGAGTCCCGAGGAGTTGCAATCCTGCGATGAAAGATTACCCAGTGGTGAATTAAAGCTTCTTGTGAATAAGCTTATAGTGATTAACACAGCGTGTGCGCAAAGTTTTATACGATTTTGTCCGAAGCTGAACACCTTGATCGATACGATATACGTTGAAGATCCTGAATATACACTAATGGCGGATATAAATTTCGGTCCACCCCAGATGAGCATGAGCTGCGGTCCTAGACTGACCTACGGCACGATTATCAGTTCAGCTCAACTATTTACACAAGCTCTGCATTCGCGCTCGACAGTAATATCCACGACGAGTTCCTCCAGTAAGGATGACAATCAGGATTCTGCCAAGCGGGAGTGGGAACGCGCAGCTCTGGAGACTACTCAAAAAGTTCCCGCGGGAGATATGAAGAAGCTGCCAAATCCAGTAGCATTTCACAGAGCGAGACTGTCTGGTTACGTCACCGACCTCGACATGGCCGCACCTTTTCTCAGTAATCCCAGATTAGTGAAAAGACCTTACGATCCCCTCATCTGCGAGAACACCATCCTTTCTCGCGCCACGGCACTAGCTCCCAGCAGTAGAAATATTTCAAAGAGTGGTGGCAGTCCAGTTAGTCATCAGACCTCAAAACCCAGTAATCCTTGGTTCGCTTCGATGGAAGAAAATAATACCAGGTTGGCGCTGGAGGTCAATCTCATGTTGCTACTCTGCCAGGCGCTTGAAGGTGTGAAGAACCTCAGATTTGCAATGCACGACAGGCAATTGATAGTGCGGGAAATAACCACGGAGATGGGAGTCTTCTTCGACTTCCTGGAGCATCAGGGTACATCAGACAAATGGCAGGTGAAGGGATCTTTAGTGGACCCTAGTGCTAAGATCACGAAAACGGTACAGGCCAAGGACGACGATCCTCCACTCCCTGCAAGACTTCGTGAAGACAGTACCGTAACAAAAGTTCCAGTTTGCCAATTGAGTCATGACGATTTTTCTCAAAATGGTAGTTCAAAAATAGAACAGAGGCTCGACGAAGATATCATCACTACAGGTGGTTTTAGTGTAGATTTCAATAACGTACAATTTTTACCATTGATGAATAAATTGTTGAAGTCGGTGGATGACTCACCGGATGCGACGTAGTATGTATAACGATATCAAATGTTGTGCTATTATTGTAGCGTCGAAGTAATATTTTCTCGATTGTTTTTCGTAAACGAAGAGTCCGGATGCTCTTTAAAGTGATTAATGATAGTTTCTGATATAACCACGTGTTTTAACGTGGGATTTCGATGCGGCTTTAAAATATGGCAAATCGTAAACTTGAGCGATGTAAAATTATGGAAATGATAGGAAGATTGTCAACAATTCTTAAATATACATTATTTCGTTAAGACTTTCGTTTAATCCATTTATCGGAGCTCTTACGAAGATCATATCGATCGAACAATAAAATGTGCAGTAAGTCTATATTCTTACACATTTAGTACCCTATACTTTTTCCTCTTAGTACCATACAAACTATCTTTGCAAGGGCCAAATGAACGACATCCTCATTACGATCCCTTTTATTCTTGTTCATATAACAAGTTTTCACCCCTACCAACGAATTGCTATCTGTCCAAGATGTGTCATTACATGCTACGTTCACTAGCATAGATTTTTTTTTTCAATTCTCTATTTTATCTCTAACAAAATAGTGTCGTCAAATTAAACATAAAATATTTAGGGCAACTCGCTGTCCTGTTTTAAAGTAAATATATGAATTGTCCATAGACGATCGCGAATTGTTCAGAGGTGAAAACGTAATATAACATCCATCCCTCTTCTAGTCAAATATATAATATGTATAATATATATAATATAACTCTGATCGTATCGATTCACTATCGAAGTCATTCATGCATGGCCCTATCAACGAGCTCATCCCGATCTATGCACATTCACCGAACGATCGATAATTATAATACAGTAGAAAAATATAATCCGTAGTGTTAACGAATATTATGCGTTACGATGGTAGTGGTAGTTATTTTATGCGACGTACGATGTCTAATCTTCAAAATGAAAGGAGAGTCTCGGCGCTAAGGAGGTAAATGCGGTAGGATGTTCTCGGGCGAAGGTGACTCATTTGTCTCCATATTGCTCGAAGCGACGTGATTGTTCGTATGTGAATGGGTCGTCGTCGTCCAGACAGTGTTACCCTCGGCGGCTCCTTCGCGAATCATGTGGGTCGTGTAGTCCAGGTGATGCGTCGTCCCGGACACCGGTAAAGAATTTGAATTAACTGTTACGGAAGGTGGAGGTGGACTGTTGAGATCTGCCAGAGGATCGATAGCTCCTCCACCGTCCCAGGATTCCATCAGTTTCGATTCCTCTGGATTCGTTAGACTGGCACTGGACCTCTGCCTCTTGGTGTCGCCATAGAGTAAACAGTGAATATTTGGGGAACTACTTCGATCTCGCACTCCCTCTTGTTCCTCGAGGAACCGGTCCATATAGTCCCTGCTTACATAATATAATTCCGTCACCTTCTACCTTTCAGGCTCTGGTTGCGTTCAGGTATAGAATGATGGGCTTCGAAGGAGAATGCGTGGGGAAGTGGAAAACCGGGATGGACGTGAAGGCCGCACTGGAAAAGATACTCACGTGATACCAGGGTGTAGGGCGTATTTTTTCTTCTCCAGCCGAGCTTTGTACGTAAATATATCGTGCCTCTCCGTTTTCTTCCACAAATAATAGAACTGTACTAGTTCACCAACGGACCTTGTTCTCACCTGAAGGTCAGTTGGTGTAAGCACAATGCTCCCATTTTAACTTTTACTTCTCATTCTCCTTACTTACTTTATTCTTCTGAATCAGATGAAAGTCCTTGCCATAGCTACGTAACCCTGTCTCGAAATTGTGACACTCTTCCTCGGACCATAGACTTACAGCATCTGTAGGTGGAATAACGTTCATTCTACGTCTTCTTAAGGCTTCTTCGAGATTGTATCCGCATTGTAGAAGTAGGTACAGAGCCTGTTCATCGTCTCTGACATGAGATCCAGCAGGCAACGAATTCCCTTTGACTGCTGGCAACTGGGCTCGCTCTAGAAACTCTTCAGTTTCCTCTTCAGGTATGTGGCTTGGATCCCAGAGCATTTTGTCTTCATTTTCATAAGGTAGGGCATCGTCATATCGACAAAGACCTTCTGGAATGGCTGCTTGATAGTCGCTACCGACCATTATTGTTTTCTTCCATTCCTCCTCGTCCGGACTGTAGTCGCAATCGTCCTCTTCTTCTTCGCTCTGAGGTCGCGACACACTTCGGAGTAATCTGGAGGAACCACCGCCTACACTTCCTACACCTTCACCGTCGATACCGTCGGCCTCTTCGCCCTTTACCATTTCTGTGTAAAATTGCTTGAGGTCCGGTTCGTTGCTCATAGGATCGGCATCGTCGTCGTCATCGGCATCCGCATCAACGTCACCCTTATCTGACGATTGCGCTTCCGCCTCCGCTTCTCCTGGTGGAAGTATCATGCGATCAGAGCTATTGGAATTTTCCGTGGAGGGGTCTGTGTATCCATACATTGCAAGCAAGTCTTTTAGAGGCATATCACCTTCCTGCAGTCAGAATAAAAGTTTTCATGGATTAGAGAACACATTAACTTTAAGTACTACTACACACCTTTTGCAAATTGGACAATTCATTGTGTGAATCTTCACTGCCTTCAAGAGCTTCCTCTTCATCCAAAGTTCTTTCGTCGTCAAATTCGTTAACTATCATCTCCGTGGCAGGGCCCATATCATCATCTTTATCTGCCCTATAAACCGTAGGTATTGATCAAGTGTATTTGACATTCCGTACATACAATTTTCCTAATACCACAATTTTTTCTTTTATTCGACAATGAAGATTACTCACATGATTAGCCCTCTTGTACTAGCCAGGATGGGACCATACCACGAAGATGTTGTAAGGACGAGGTCAGCAGAGGCTGTTCCTTGATCGTAGAGATATCATCACTCTCAATGGTTCCCCCAATACAAATATATCAGTGTCTATCATGAATATCCTTGGAATATCAATGTCTTTTTATCTTTATACTCTTCTTTACCCAATCAACCAGAATATCAGTGCCGTCGAAGAAGACGCCCGCCACACTATTCTAACCTCAAAGTGATTGATGATACTCAGATTCCGTTCTGTAGATTCCTGTACACTTATTACCTTCCACAGTAAGAAAAGGCACCTTGCGACAATTTTTCCCGCCACGTTATCAGTCAATATTCTTCGCATTAAGTTCTTTCACACAGAAAATATCAACTGAATCACAAATAGACAACCCGAAAAACTTCCTATTTCACAGGAAAATAAAGGCGACGCTAGCGCCGTTGACGTTCGATGAATAACAAAGGAGAAGGGGTAAAAGACGCGCAAAGCAGCGCGTGGATGCCAATGGATGCCTGTGGATGCATACACACACTCATAAGAATCCAAACTAACCAAACGAATTCATGCAACTTGCCCAGCAAAGTCTGACGTATGAACTTACTCACACGTAAGCACAGGTTGACAAGGATAAATGTAGGCCCATAGTCACGTAGCCAAATGATTCGTATTTACAGTAGTAGGGATTGGTAGGGATCTCTTGTTGTTCTCCCGTAGTTGTGTCTTGTAGTTAGTGTGGTTAGTTGCCATTGTGAAATCACAGCAGCAATATCCAAAATGTCCTTCCTTGCAAGAAGGAGCTTATCTGTCGATGGACTAAGGGTAACACGTTTGTCTTTTATTTTTCCAAAGTTGATCCTCTCCACGATTTTATTTTATTCTGTGGAACATGTTTCTTTCAGGTTAACAGCGCATCTCCGCTACTCAAACTACAGCGAGTCAGGTGTCCTTTTTACTAATATATTACCTTACGCTCATAATCTCTCTCTTTCCAGCATTTTCATTCTTCCAGTTTTAGTCTCAGTTCTCGCTTTTCATTAGGGCCTGTAAATGTGACTACTTTTTTTTTCGTATAATGAGAAACTAACACATTTGACTCGTAATACTTAATTTTTGAAAGTCATTTCAAAGTATATATCAAACCTTAGTTTGGTAGAAAGAGAGCGGTTTAGTTTTCAACACTGAAATATATGTATACTGGAAGGCATACTGCGATAAAGAATATGCTGCGTCGGTGCGTGCCAGGTTTTTTCTATTTATCTTTGTCTTTGGGGGGACCATCCGCCTTTCTTTATTGCGGACTTGGCATGTCAAGTGCAGAGTGAGCTAAAGTTACCATTCACAACCATACTGAATTTTGCTGTCATTGAAACTGAACATATGTATTCTCGATACTAACTGTTGACAGAGACTGTACAATGTCCAAAGGAGAAAGAGAGAGAAACGGCCCCGAACATTTTCTCTCAGCATGCGTGATACGGGTTCCAGTATGCACGTATTTCAGTGGTTTTTATACTTTTGTCACTCTCGGACGTTTGGTAATTAGTTTTTGACATGTCACGTGATATGTGTATTAACAATTAACTGTCTTTATAAAATGACAGACGCATGCAATTTTTTTGTTTCCGTTATTAAGGACTCAAGTGTGAGACTTAAAAAGTTAATGTACTAAGTAATGATGATATGCATCAGTAATCGTAATTAACTATTGATTTGTTATTATTGTACTGATAATTATTAATGAATGTTTTAGAAGTACCATAGCAAGTAGAAATGATAATGAAGAATATCAATATATTCAAAGAAGCTCAGTACCTACAATGCACTTTCAAAAATCTTTACCACGTCTTCCAATACCCAAATTGGAAAGCTCTTGCAAGAGATATCTGAAGGCACAGGAGCCACTTTTAATAGAAGAACAACTGAGACATACTGAGTCCTGTGTAGATCGATTTCTTAAAGAGGATGGACCGACGCTTCAACGTGAACTCGAGAAGAAAAACTCTAAAAATCGTCACACCAGTTACATAACCGAATACTGGTCTGATATGTATCTTAGAGACCGTCAACCCCTTCCAATTAATTACAACCCCATATTGATATTTACTCCCGAAACGGATCCTCGTTACAATCAGCAGCTGGTAAAAGCAACGAACCTCTTGATCTCGTCACTTAGGTTTATGAAATCCTTGCGCTCTGGTATTCTGGAACCGGAGGTATTTCATTTGAATCCAAAGAAATCGGACACCAAGTTATTTCGCCAAATTACCAAAGCTCTACCACCCGTTCTCTCCTGGTACGGTGCCTACCTCTTCAAGGTAAAGGCTCTATCATTGTTATTTACGATATAGAATTAGAACCATCAATTTGAAGAGGATGTTACAATCGTAGGCTTTTCCACTGGACATGTCTCAATATTCAAATCTTTTCAACTCTACGAGAATTCCTGAGTTCGACAAGGATCGGATTAGTCAGGATATTTCCGGGAGGCACGTGGTTGTCATACGCAGAGGCCACTTTTATTCGTTTGATGTCTTGGATGAGAATAATTACATCCAGTCGCCAGTGGATATAGCTTCTAATCTAAATGCAATTTTACAAGATGATAGAGAAGCAAATGAAAATCCTGTTGGCGTATTAACAACGTGCGAGCGAGATCATTGGGCCACAATAAGACATCGCTTGACGGAGACTGGAAATCGTGACATTCTTAAGACTATAGACTCTGCTCTGTTTGTGCTCGTTTTAGAAGACGAATCCATCGGTACGGATTATAATGCAATGTTAAGAATGTTTTTGCATGGGAACGGAACAAGCAGATGGTTCGACAAGTCCTTTTCTTTAATCGTGGCTAAGGATGGTGTCGCTGGAGTCAACTTTGAACATTCTTGGGGCGATGGGGTTGCTGTACTAAGATATTTTAAGGTATAAACTGCTAGTTCTTTACGTCATATTACTTTCTTTAGGATTGCTTCATTTTATCAAATACATTTCTAGGACATAAAGGATGATATAGCAGAAAAACCAAAATTTCATCCTGAAGACATATCGAGTGTCCGAAGTGGCCCCTTGGTCAAGAAGCTTGAATTTACTGTGGATCCAACCGTGAAGGAAGCGATCAATCAGGCTCAAGATAAGTACAAAAAATGGACGAGTAATCTGGATGTGAACTATTTTGTGCAGGAAGGTATCGGTAAGAAGGAGTTCAAAAAATTTGCCGTGAGTTCTGATGCGGTGATGCAACTGGTATTTCAATTAGCATTTTACAAGCAAGAAAGTCGTATGGTAGCGACTTACGAATCTTGCAGCACGGCAGCTTTCAAACATGGTCGCACTGAAACTCTCAGGTCTTGTACAAACGAAACTAAGGCATTTTGCGAAGCCATCACTCAACGCTCCTCGAAAATATCCACTTCCGAATTGAAGAATATGATAGTCGACTGTAGCAACAGGCATAATATACTTGTCAAAGAAGCGGCTATGGGTGAGCGTTATTTACGACTGGTTTAATTATCGAAAAATCACTGAACGTTTATTAGAAAAAAAATTCGATTAAAAGGAGATACGATCTTTTATTCTTTGGAAATCTAGCTTCCACAGCTGTGCGCCTATGTTGACACGTTACTGTTTCAGGCCAAGGATTCGATAGGCATTTGTTCAGTTTGAAAAAGTTATGGGAAATTTCGAAAACTGTTAAACCCGCCATTTTTGAAGATCCAGCTTACGATGCACTGAATCATAATATTTTATCTACTTCTACTCTCTCGAGTCCTGCTGTAATGGCTGGAGGTTTTGGTCCTGTAGTACCTGACGGATTCGGCTTAGGGTCAGTCACAATTAGAAATTCACATCTTGATAATGATAGAATTGATTACGACGTCATTCCGTTTTACAGATATATGATTCAAGAGAATATGCTTGGTGCTGTGATAACGAATTATAAGGATCAACGTAATGGCCACGATTACCTGTCCTGTCTGGACTCAGCATTTAAAGACATATATAGAATATTGGCGAAGAGTTAAAACGTGTAACGAACTGAATGATATTCTTACGACCAGAATTGTGTCTTGCCAATGAACGAAAACTAAGTTTTTTTGTTTTAATATCATTGTATTGTTACTGCCTACCTGCGAAATGGTACTATTCTGCAACGAAGTCCATTTTAGAACATTGTTTGTTATATACAGAGAATTTATATTTCATATATAATAAATATATATTCTATAAAGACACAGAGTAATTGAACGAATATCCCGAATCATCGTCGAGCAATTCAGTTTATTCGTAACGACTTCCCACTATTGTACGACATATTTACACTGCGGTGTACATCTACAATAATTACAAAGATATAATACTTTCCTACGACTCTTAGAGGCTAGGCTATACTAAAGCGTCCGGCACCAAAAAAAGAAAACAAGAGTACATTATGCAACAAGGGAGTAAAGTCGTTGATTATTCCCGCGGGTGAGAGTTTAGTGCGCGAGCGAAGCGAGGGCAGTAAACCACCCGAGGGAATAACCGAATTTACTCTCGTGTTACATATAGTGCTTTATTCACGTCTGAGCTATAATAGCCACTTTATTCCCTGAAAAGTGGGACTTACTCAGCCACCGTCATTATGATGGAAATATACGTTTTTCCAAATATTCAAAAAATTCAAAATGTTTAAATTTTTCACCTTTTCAAAACTTTCAAAATTAAAAAAAAAATTCAAAATTTTGCGGGAATAAAGTTCATTATTCCCGCAAAATGCGGGAATAAAGTAAATTTGCGGGAAAACCAAATATGCGGGAATAAAATGCTACTTTATTCCTGCTTTTCAGGGAATAAAGTGGCTATTATAGCTCAGTCGTGAATAAATATAATTACATTAGGTAAATTAATGTTTAATGTACAATTAATCTGATATTTGTTACATGGTCTGTTTGTTAATACAGCAACGCCAGAGAATATTTACAACAGGCGATATGGAACGACGAATACAGTTTGAGGATCACTCATAAATATCAGTTCGCATTGGTCGATAAAAAAATGGGAGCATATTTTGATATCGAGCGATGTCGAAAATATTTTCTTCCTAAGTTGTCCAACTTTTTGTTCACATCTACATTTGAATAAATGTCGAGGTCTACGACATCAAGTCCAAGTCGAAGTAGTGGAAAAGTAACTAGAAATTCTCACGCTAAAAGAGATTTAACATCTATCTTATATATAAAACCGTGTTTAATAAATCGCTTTAACATTGAACAAATATATTTTTGCATTGAGTTTCACAGCGGTGGAATGAATGATTATGTCACTGTTTCCTGTCAGAGCTCTTTCTTCTTTTGATGGTGAATGCTTCTTTCGCTATGAACTCTCTTTTTTTGTTGACTTTATTTGGTCTTTTGATACATCAAATTAGACTTTGTTTCCCATTTTAATCTTGGCAGACTGTAAGATGAAAGAAATGATGAGAGATAAAGTGTTTTAAAATCTACATATGTCGAGTCACGACATCAGATTCTAATTTTGACAGAGAGCACAAGGAATTTTTTAGATTCTATTAGTTCAGAAAGGAAAATACATTATTCTATTAACCCGAGAATGGTCCTGCAATTTTATTCTCTATTTGAAGAAGAATAAGTTGGAGCGTTTTAGACACTAAGTATCTACGTCCGGGTTAAGGATATTATACTGATCTTAAGTTGAGTATACTAGAATTAAGCATAGCAATATTAAATACTGTATATTTGAATCTTCTCGTTTCGTTAATTTCAAAATCTAATGTCCTGGCTCAACTATAGAGTATTATCAGAGATTTGAAAGTATTTTCAATTTTAACTTACCATATAAATGCCAACGATCAGTCCAAAGAGACCGATCGCAGATCCGAAAATTTCCACGATGAGGATCTTAACGAAGAGTGCTGAATTTGCTGCATCAGCGAGAGCAGCTCCAGAACCCACAATTCCAACAGCTATACCACAGGACAGATTGACAAGCCCAACAGCAAGACCAGATCCGAACATCAAATAACCAGCAAACCAGTTCTGGTTTTTTAGAGACACAGACGAATTGACGTCTGCATAATTGAATTGGTCAAGCATTCCACAGAGTACAATGGCAGTAATTAAACCATAAATAGCTACAGCTTCGCAGAAAATAATGGAAATCAAATTTTTCGTTTTAATACGTGGTGCCTTTACACCACCTCCGATAATGGAAACACCGGTAGTATGAATGCCACTGTAAATTAACCAGAATGTTTTGATAGTCAATATCATTAAAATATAAAAATATCACAAAGCTAAAAATGAATATATTATTACTTACAGAGCAGCACCAACAATAGAGAGTGCAACTGCTAGACCAATGCCAACACTGGCCCACATGTATGGAGTAGTGTTTTCCAAAAACCTATCGATAGTGAAATATGATTTCAATTCTGTTTCATACGTGTAATTCATATTCTTCCATACTACTACTTACCATGCAAAACTGATACGTTCTCCCTTACCAGTCAAGATATGGTACAAGACTGAAAAAATCAGACAAGTTTCAAATTATATAAAGTATAAGACCAGAGAATATACAATTATACATAATATTAATGAATTCTAAAGTAATAACTAACTGGTTGATCAAAATGTCAAAAAGGGGGTGTGGCAATAATACATTATGATGTTAAATACTCCAAAAACCGGTTCAAATAATGTGACATAACATTCCACTAATTAATTATCTTTATTCTCACTTTTTTAAGACGTATATTATATCTGGAAGAGAATTAGAGCAAAGATACTCTAAAAACAGACAACTTGATACAAAGTATTTGAGTCTTATTGAACATTTTTGAACGATTGTAGCTTAATAGTTCACTAAGCACCATTGAACAATGATCCTTGGATGAATCTCACGATATACAGAACGTCATTAATATAAGCATAAATGTAAGGAAATGTAAGGAAATCCGAACCCAAGACGGTGATAGTCGCGGAGGAGATGGTCCCAAAGGTGTAACCCAATAAGTATCTCATGGTGCCTTTGAATATTTAGGCTGCGTCTGACAAATAGATCCTTGCTGCGACAAGCAAATATCACAAATCCTCCAGAAGGATTTGGGTAAGTTCACCTTACTGGCTCTAGAACTACCTCCCAATCCTCCAAATTTTTCTTTCTGCAGACGAATCGGCAAAACGGACACCCGTTGTTGTCATGTGACGACCATACCGAGATGATGTTACCAATCTTTTGATTAAAAATAAAATTCCTAGAAACTTGATCGACCACCACCCAATAAACTCCACTGGAGAACTCGGTCGATAATTATTAGATAATACAAAATCAAGATAAAAGACGAGAAACATTTTTCGATGTATTGGATTTTTGCTAAATATAGAATGCTTATTTGATGCCACAAAAATAATATCCATGAACATTTTTATATTAAAAAGGAGAACGATATTGGCGAACGTCTCTTGCAATTTTCTTCATTATCTTGCGAGCACATAGTAACTTAATGTGTATTATTGGCAATAATCGTTATCATTCTATGACGTAAGTACATTGGGAATTTAAATAATATAAATATCAGTACAGAAATGTATGTTTGATGAAATTCTAGGAAGACTATTCATAGATTTATTACAATATAATTTGTACATAGAAATAAACTTTCACATCACTAATAGTTTGTGTGTTTTATTAAATTTTCGTTTGGGCCAGAGGTGGGAAATGTAACCGGATCGTGCGGAAGGTCTAATTTTAGATTAAGTTGCATCTGCTAGCTTGTACCAACAAATGAAATCAAGAGTTCTGAGTATATCGTAAAGTATCTTCCACCACGTAGGATGTCTCAAGGAAAAGGGTAAATTAGTAATATAGTATCTCCACTATTAATTTTCTATAATATGTCAATTGAATAAGAAATAGATCATTAGGGTATCTGTCGATACGTTTCAGAAATACGTTTACTCAATTTTACCAAATGGTATATGATGCTGCAAAGGAGAAATCATTCAAAAATTGTTTTCGAGAGTTATCACGAGCTGGAAATAGACAGGGAATGATTGAATTGGTCATTGAACTTCCTGGGATCAGAAAATGGCAAATGACCGATTCTTACGTTGCCAAGAATGACATTCATGTTCTTGCCACATTCAAGAAACATAACTTACTCACATGTGATACCAAGTTTCTTACTGAAGCTTTATTTGCTGCTAGCATCACTAATAATAATTTTTTAAATATATTACTAGCTCGTACAAAACAATATTACAGACACGGCGAGTATTTGAAGTGTATCGCTGATTGCGATTACGCGATAGATTTGTTAAATAATGTTTTAAATTCTATAGAAAAAAGAATATCCTTTTTAGAATATAACATAGAGTTTAATTTATTTCAATCAATGTGCCTGAAGCGATTAGAACTGAATGAGAGAGCAAGAGCTTGTTTTAGCAAGGCATCAAACTCTGCAGAAGATCTTATGAAACTGAAGAAGGACTGCACATCTGTTTCCAATGAAGAAAAGCTACAAACTTTAAAACCATTCTTAGATAAGCTAAGAGAAATAAAGCAGACAGATGAAAATATAAATTCACGGAAATCTGTAATTTCATCAACCAATTCAGTGCCTCTCATCGACGGAAAAATGCACAATAAATTGATAAGTTGCTCTGATGCTGTATCTTTAGAGTACAACGCCGACAAAGGAAGATATCTTATTGCATCACGCAATATTAAATCTGGCAGCGTTTTAATAGTCGATAAACCATTTGCATTCAGTACGGATAAGCAGGCACTATCCAGAAATTGCCTTCATTGTCACGTATCATTAATATTAGACAGCACGACAAGAATACCATGCCACAATTGTCAAACGGTTAGAAATCGAAGTGGATCAATTGAAATTATTTAGCACATACACAATATATTTCCTTTAGGTTTCCTTCTGCTCGGAAGAATGTCGAAAGGCGGCCTGGAAAAATTATCATCGGTATGAGTGCCAGGTTTTTGATTATTTTTATGAAACGGAATCGTACCGGACGTCTTATCTTCTGTTGGCCTACCGAACAACCGTCTCGATGATATCCCAAGGTGGTAACGATTTCGATGCAAATGTTTTGGATTTTCATGACGCGGTTGAAAAGGAGTCCAATCGGTTCAGAGTCGCCATTGGCGATGATTATTCTCCTGTGGATTACAAAACAGTCTATTCCTTGGAGACACACGGTAGACACGCTGATCCTGATGACAATCTAATTCGATCGATACAGGCCATCTTTTTGGCGAAATGTCTTGCACATGTCATGGCTGACTTTACACCCGGCGTCATTCTTCAGCAACGATATCTCGAACTTCTGGCGGTTGCGACGCTGAGACACTTACAAGCAATTAATAGCAATGCTTATGAGATCGTTGAAAACATCTGGGATAAAGAAACTAAAATTTGGGAACCTAGAAACGTGGGAGGTGCGCTCTATACAACTGTAAGTCTGGTGAATCACAGTTGTTACGCGAATGTTGTTCGCCACACTTATCCCAATGGTAAGACATAACTAATAGTATTTTTGCATATTCTCACTTGCTTATAAATCAATTTGTATTTTAGGTATGGTGGTTGTAAGAGCTTTACGTTTTATACGTAAGGGTTCGGAAATCTTGGATTGTTATGGGCCACATTTTCTGAGCGATGACAGAGACAAGAGGCGTAAACACTTATTGGAAAAATATTATTTCCATTGTGCATGCGAAGCCTGTACCGACAATTGGCAGTTACCACTCAGCGAACCGAAGTATCAGTGTAAAGGTTGTCCAGAATTTTTGTCAAAAGTAGAATCAGCCTGTAAAAAGTGTCATACTAAAATCGACAGAAAGAAAATTGAAAGGCAGTTGAAAGAATCGATCAAGAAGAGAATAGAAGCGATTTCCTTATTATACGACGGTCATTATAAGGAGGCTCTGCCGATTTTACTGGAGCATGGAAACTTTGTTGAGAAAACTCTTGCCGATCCAAATCTTGAGGCTATTAAAACACAGCAGGCCATCGTTCAGTGTTTCAACAGTCTGGGCTGTGTCTCCAAATGATTTTCCTTGCTTTGAATAAACAAAGCAAAAGACTTAAATTTTTACACTGAAAAGAAGCAACAGGGAAAAAAATATAAAGTTTACGGTTGACACTTTATTAACACACGTCTTACTTGAAATTTGCTAAACTTTCCTAAAGCTGTTTGGATAAAAAAAAAAACAACTTATTCGGTCACAAAAACGTCTCAATGCAAAGAAAGCGCCCTAATAAGACTTACAAACGTCGTGACATCGCTCGTACAAATTTTTAATAAAATTGTGTCCATGAGTGAGTGCATGCTTCTAACGGTGTAACTACACGAAAGTCTCACGCGAAATACAGGGCGTCTCAAGAACTCGATACTTTAGGTAACGATCTACGTTTAACGTTTTTAAGAAATATGCAGTACAAGATAAAAAATGAAAAAAAGGGAAGGGACACACTAATAACATTCTACTTTTTCCGTCATGTTCGAAGTTTCGCACACAGTGCAACTTTCGGCAACGTTATATCAATATGTATTCGTAAAAGCATAAGCTTCAGACATCGGTAAACGAAGAGTCATACGTTTATTTTTCTTGCGCTTACATTATAATCGCACATTCCGATATCCAATGACTTCATGTACGCGTTATGTGTATAAATTAAACATAATGAACAATAACGGCCATAACGATTGACCGATATACTTGTGGCTCGTACGTTACGTGCACGATTCTTTCGTCTTCTTGTTCAGCGCACAGAATATTCTGAACTGTACTTGTCCAGTGCGTTGTTCAGAAGACTCTCATGTTATTTGTAATGATCGGACATCGAGATAGTTAATAATACCGTTGCCGATACGACGATTCGATACAGTCAGATACGAATGATGTATTTGATACTTTCTATACTCGACATTGTTATCCCTACGAGCAATTATTTCTTTGGTTTAAAATCAACACGTGGTTTGTGTATTTCACTTGAGGATTTTCTCAATTTTACCTTTAGATTTGTTAAGGCAACTTCATATAGACGTGTGCATATACCCGGCCCATCGTTAGTCGTGAGTCACACAACTTGTTCGGATGTGATTTGCATGGTAAATTTTTGTAAAGAATGTTTGGGGTGCTCGCTATCCTATCGTATTTTCGTAGAGTAAGAATTATGTACACTGGTCCGACATACAGATAGCACGAGTCCTTTAACTTATCCAAATTAATATGTAAATAATACCTATTTATAACTAGCCTTTCTGGTCGTGTATAGCGTTTACCTACCAGTCACTAATCACCACATATGCGTTTCGCGGATTTCGCTGATAATGTGACCCGCGTGTGTCAGCGCCTGCGACATAAAGATTTAAAGTTAATTCAAGTCACGTTATATATGTACGAGAGAATTTTCAGATTGATCCTAGTCCTTAGACAGCTGTATCTCCCATTACAGTATAATCCGTATGTAATTGTATTATCGTTTACCTTTAGCATATCTCCTGCTTCTTTACGCCTTACAGCAATGTGTTCACTTTCATTAAGTAAAGTTTCCGCGTGATCGGACTTGTACAGGTGCGTAACGAGTTCACTCTGCAAGTTGTCCTTCACGAAATTCACCAGGAAGTGCATTACTGCCTTGGGTACGCTGTCTTGAATGGATTTTCGTACGATATAGAAGTACGATTTGATAAGTCGTTCTGGAAAGCAAAGCAAAAAACATTTATTGCTTATTTCGCTGAACGTGTTTGCTGAAATAAAATTGTTCTTACCAATAACGTCACAATCGCATTGCTCGCGTTCACTGAGCTTACGGGATGTCTGAATAGGCACTTCAGAGAGTAAGTTCACTGGCTTCTGCTGGGGCGATGCTTTTTGGATTTCGATGGATGGATTCGAAGCTTGATTCGGATGAGGGGATGAACTCTCTTCTCTATTCCTAACGGGGGAACCATCCATGGAACTCGTTGATTCCGTTCTTCCTTGTGGTAATAAGTTACTCAGCAACCAGTGATTCTGTGCTGGCTGTTGCTGTTCCTTATTCTGATCAGGAAAACACGCCAGTTCTTCGCGACTGTTTGTTTGTTTTGCACTCTGAGGTGATTGGGATAGAAGGGTATATAGTTAATTGGGAAAATCTAACGGGTACAACTTTGGCAAAATTTTTACTTTAGTGAATCACAGACTACCGGATTTGAAACTGGTAAAATACGCCAAGCAATACTCACTTGTTCAATTGGGATGAAGCTGCTGGCCGAAGAGTTTGAGGACGAAGACATATTTCTTCGGCTTGATCTAATCTGATCGGCCTCTGCATTTTTGAGGAGAGATGATGCAAGAGCCGCATCTTTATGAAAATCCGGGTGCTTAGTATTAATATAAGCTAATTCAATTGCGACTAGATTTTCTACCTGCAAACAAAAATCTTTATCATGTTCTCATCGGGTCTAACCTTTATTTATGCTGCTGCAGGATATTCTATAACGCTCTGTTGATACAATAAAAAAATCAATAAAAAAGGAATAGAAATAGTTTTTCTGTTCATTTCTTACCATTTGGTTAGTGGTTGGAAGACGTCTACGCAGTAATTGCATTACGACGTCAACGATGCGCTCGTGCAATTTAGGAAAACGTAACATCTCCTGCTGCACTTCTGTACCGCAGTGCTGAATAATTCTTTGCATCTCTTCGTGCACTAATTCAACACACCGTAATGAGGGTTCCTCCAGCCTTCGGATTTGACGTTTCACCAGCAGCTCAAAGGATACCTCAGGTACAAAAAGAGCAGGCCTCGGTCCAGTGGCATTTCGAATGGCAGTTAATATATCCATTTTCGTTAGACCAGCAAGAGGATGAATGGCGTCCAAAGTTCTACCGAATGCTTCGTGGAAAATGTAACAGATTCGAGCACCACCACACAATTCAGTAGTTCCAATGTTTCTCGCTGTTCCTTCAATGGTCGAACAGTAACTGCTAGCAAATTTGGTTACGATTTGCAATAATGTTTGACTTTTATCTCCTACATCCTCGCCGTAGGAATTTAAGAGCGATTGGTATTGGGAAACCATGACGTTCACTCGAGTCTAAAAAGAAAATAGTTGTGTTCGAAACAATTGAGATGAGTGATAAAGAAATTTTAATTTCCCTTACCTTGAGTTCGGGAAGGCAGTCCCGAATGTGATGCATCAATAATCTATTGAGCGTTTTGGCAAGGTACGGCGTGCCATTTCTATTCGCTAAAGTCGGATACTTTCGTTGCAGAAACGTAGCCTCGTCTTTTAACGCATCCTGAATTGTTTTATTGTTCATGATATCTTGCTGGGAACGGTTGACCACTCCAATAATACCCAGCTTAACTGGTATCACGCGGCCGCATAGAATGTCGATCGCATCCGTTCCTCAATCCGAAAGAAATATCAAAATAATAGGGTGCCATTGATAATCTTGTGGCAAAGGTATATAAATGATTAATGGCTCTTGAAAAAAGGGAAAGAGTAGTGACTTGTTGCTTTGAAACTCCTACAAAACCGGTGATGGAAAGTAATTGGAACGGAATGGGACAGAAATTGGAGTAATAACAGATATTGAATATTTTGTAAAATGTAATATCTTACCAGCATCCATGAGATCCATTTTAGTGACGACGGCAAGAGTACGCCTTCCATCTGGATCTACATCCTTGCTGAGTTTCAAGCTTTCGCTAGTAGCCATATCAGTATTGGCTGTAACGACAGCCAATATAATCGAATTGGGATTGCATATGTATTTGAGCACTAGTTGTCGAATCTGATTTTCAATATCTTCAGGTTGATCACCAACAGGTACTTTGGTAATGCCAGGTAAATCAATGAGTGTTAAATTGACAACACTTGCTGAGTATATCTTCAAATTTATTGGCTCTGGACAAATTCCTTTATTGGATCCAGCCATGCGATCGGTCTCTGCTTCAATCTCCCTTCGGATATCATCAAAATTTGAAAATATTTTATTCCTTGTATGTAAAAACGTTCCCCATTCTTCAACGTCCAAGGTTCCTGCCTCAGCAGATCTATGTTCTCGATCATCTTTTGGAGTATACACTAGCTGTAGGATTAAAGGTCTTCTAGTGACTATGCCAGTTCCTCGAGGCAAGAATGAACGGCCTACAAGACTCTCAATCACAGACGATTTTCCTGAACTCTACGAAAATAACCAGTATTAATCCAAAAAATTTCAAATGCACCTGATTGTCACTAATACCAATTTCATCGTCGATTAATTGTTTTTTAACTAACCTGAGTACCCAGTACCACAATTTGTGGGAGTTGAATGGCATCAGAGCCAACGGTATTAAATACATCTTGCAGTTTATTAATTACAGGAATCAATGCTTCCATCGTTTAATATGAAGAATAAAAGCTCAACCGATTGGAGCGAATCTAAGAAAAACCGGTTGTGAATGTGAATGATTCTAAAAAGGAGATCGTCCCAGAAACGTCCAATGGGTAAAAGAGCAATAAATTTATTGACGTCTCTTAAAAGTTCTCGAAACTTACTTCGAGAATAATTCAACTTTTCAGTAAATTATTGAAAAATGGAGTTAACGGAAAAATTAGCCCGTAGAATTCTCTACCGGCTAACGAATCTTTTAGAGTGCCCTAGCCTTGTACACTGGGAGGTAACTACTAGTAAAGAGAGTCCACCTTTTGGGACATTTGTGTCTGACGGCTGTAAGACGGTTTTGTAAAAGACAAACGATTTTATCGACCATTGTAAGTCTGAACTGAAAACGGAGCGCTCCAAGTACTTTCCTGGATTGCTACTGTTGGTGGGCAGGTTCTGTCAATTTTCCCATTTGAGTTCGTGCTCCTTGTGTATTCTCCATGGTCATATTGTTCATTAAATAATAATGGCATTCACCGGTTCGTGTGCCATTATTTTAAGATTCTCTAACTTAAAAACTGTAGTGAGATCTGGGAGCAATGTCAGCGCTATTACATCTAATGTAACGCATCGTTTGGTAAGAACTAACAGCATGTCGCTGTTAATCTTTTTACGGCATTTTTATCTGATGCCAAAAATTGTAAATATTCTATAACCTTTTCATTCATTGGACTATTGAGATTAATATTGGATTATTATGGTAACAGGCCAATACTCGTTTATATGCAACAGAGCACAATGATCAAGCGACCAAGAAAGACACTGAGAAGTTGGAGAAACCTATGAGTAAAGCTATGAAGGCTTACTTGGAGCGAGCTAAGCAACATGGTCAGTGTGGTTCCTTTTAGGAGAATTGTTGTTCACTATACATTAACTGATTAATTCTAATTATATGAAATACATACTTTAATACATGATTTTTATTTTATACTAGATGAATTTATGGTAAATCAAACTCAGGACTATCAAATTGGTAAAAGGCATCTGGCCAATATTATGGGAGAAGATCCTGATGAATTTACTCAACGCGATATTGATGTAAGAAACATTTATATTGTGAATAATCATAATCCTTACATTCATAACCATATGTTATTTGTAGGCAGCAATAGAGTATCTGTTTCCATCGGGTTTATACGATCGAAAAGCTAAGCCTATGTTCAAGCCACCTGAGGAGATATTTCCAAAGAGAAAAGCAGCTGAGTTTGATTCTTCTGGCAGGCCATATCATTCAATGTTTTATACATGTAAACCAAACTATTATCAGACACTTTATGTATGATACTTGATTTTCTAGTATTACATTATCTCTTTAGTTTATCAATATTCTAATAAACTATATGTTACAGGATTTAGTAGAAAAGTTTAATAGTTTGAATGAGTTTGAGGATCGAATGATTCAAAAGGGTCTTTCTCCTGATCCAGAAAATGCCATGTAAGTTTTTATTTTGTATTTTATTATCAACTGCATAAAATGTACCTTTGCAAGTAGCAATTTTTGAAATAATATTCTTATTGTTTCAGTGATTTAACTGGTTCATTGTGGATGCCAAAGGCAGAAATTGAAAAATTGATATTAGAAGTACTTAATGATCACGAAGTAAGTTAAGATTTTATGCACTAACAAAAACCCATATTTACCATGGAAGTGTATTAAAAATAAAATTTCAGTACGCCTATTTGGTAACCTCGCTTGAAAGATTAGTGGATCATCCTTATTCATACACTATTAAGCCTGAAATTATGCAATATCGCAAGACGCTTATGTCACAAACGGCAGGACTTATTATCCCTCCAGTAAGTCTACAGTATTGAGTTGCTCCTATTTTTTTAATTATTTTTAAAATACTTTATTTATAATTATTTCATTTTATTATAGTTACAATACGATGCAAATGGAAGGCCATTCATCTATGTACAACGTAAACTATACTTTAATGAAACTTTTATGCTTATATTAGTATAAAAAATACTTTATTTACTCGTAATTTCTACTTTTCTAGATTGTTCAAGAAAATCAGCAAGAGGCAAAGTCACTATCTTCGGCAATGGCTCAGGTCAAATAACAATCAACGGTCAAGATCTTACGTACTTTGATGACCTCCAATCAAGGGAACAGGTACTATGATTTTGCACGCTAAACACGCCTTCTCCAAGGCAGACAATTCCGTGATACATACAAAATGTAACGAAGTTTAATTTTGCTGAGTGATCGAATAGCGATAGTTATATTCAGGTCACCAGGTAAATGAACCGTACGCACATGAATCATACGATATTGGACTAGTGAAGCAGTATGTGATTTTATTAAAAATGTGTCAGTGTTTCAATTCGTGTACAGTGATAAAGTGTATGAGATTAAAACTACAACAAAATTTATCAAGTACTTCGGTAAGTAGATATTTATTACACAAACTGTATTGTGCCGTATTTACTGTATATAAACGGCATCCCTCAGTGTTGTCTTATAAATTAAAAATAACTCACTACTTACTTACGGCTACGATCGTTTGTATTAGATATCGAGATATTCTTCATTTTAAATCCACTGAATAATCTTACAAGCTGTCACAGTCCCGGCTAGATCAATCAGTCGTCGCTTGTTTTCCTCGAGAAAGTTGATCATTCTGGTTTTCCAAGCGCCCGATACAGCAGCTACGTCATTCTGACATTTAGCTTGTTTTCCTCTGATTGAGCACATGAAACATTGACATCACGAACGTGTTTGCCATTACGTATTTCTACAGAGAGTTTGGTAATCTAGGACAATAGATAAGTGTCTTGAATTTCGATGGTCCTTCATCCTTGGTATATCACGTCGTAGGTCTTCTTTACGTCATTCTAATGAAAAATTTGCAAATTCTTTGCCATAGGATTCTAAATAGATTATTAATTACGAATTTCACGGCAGACTCATCGCGTCATCTGTAAACCGGTTAGAAGTTATTTATATGAATTCTGCATCCCAGAGTAAAATTAACTACATCCAATTTGAGATCACGGACAAAGGCTTATTATTATTTTTTCTTTTCTTAAAAAAAAAAAACCAGTAGAACGCAGTACTCTATTTGGAATGGATATCCCACGCAGGCGTTGAGAGAATTCAGGACCTAGAAATCTTACAATGCTCTCTGTTGTTGAAATACTTGACAAGATAAGCTTACCAGAATGAATTAATTGAACAATTAATTGCGCAATTATGTTTTCCCAACTCGTATAAATCTCTATCGTTAGATGCATTCAGGAATCAGAAAATTCATGTGTAACTTTGCTTGAGCAGATGCTACATAACTACTATTGCGAAGCGTTTATCCGTAGTGAAAGGTTCTGTAGTGCGGCACGAGAGGTATTCCATAACCAGGATGTTAAGTTCGCATCTTAAGTTAACCTTCCGTATGAATCATATAGACAATCAGTCCCGGAAGATTTATCTGCGGAATTAAATAATTAAAACACGCCAATTAAATATGTATAAAATGAGAATAGCAATTTTTGCTTAATGAGTCAAAATTCACTAATATGACAGAGAAGTGTTTTTTTAAATTTTGAAAATGCAAGCAGGTTATTTTTTATATTTTTTTAAATGATGTCATTCACGACATTGGATGAATATTTTTTTAGATGAACTGATTTTTGATTACAATATATCAAGATTATTCAAGCAAATATTCTAGATGGAACATTGAATACTGTTGAAGTAATGCCACGTGTACACGACTGTACAGAGTCATTAGGTTGTTTTAGATTGAATGATTCCTGTTGGTAACTGTCTTCATTCTTCGTGCGTTGGAGTTTCAATGTGAAATTATATCAGCAAATGACTTTAGATGACTTGAGATGAATTGCACGCTGATTAAAATCTGTTTTCCAGTAGAATTCTCACAGTTGTATATAGTTTTGAGTTATAGGATTTTCAACAATTGGTCTGCCAAGAAGAAATGGAATATCATGATTGTACTGTGGTGACTGGTGACTCCCACTTCTTTGTGGCTCCTGAACAGAACACCCGGTGCTCTCTTGAAAAATGGTCAGTCCGTTGAGTAGCGTGATTCTAACAGGACTTTACTGAGCGTATCCAACGGTTGAGCACTCCTCGTCACAAGTCACAAGTGCTCCTTGATAACCGGTAAAGCAAGGACGTGGATCAATTTCAGTGTAAAACTGCAGTGCAGTCAGTTGTTTTATCGGTTTTCCCAAAGGTGCAGTGAGAGGAAAGGTGATTTCCAATGGATTTTCCTCATTGAAAAGTTCTACATGTCTGCCTTCGTGCACCGTGTTATAATTTTTAGTTTATAAATTCGGAAGGACATTCAAACTCGGAATTTCTTTGATTTAAGTTACGTACAGATTTGTACCGTTATGCAACTTCGATTGTATTTTGATGATTTACAATTAACGCATGTAAAGACGTTGGCAGATCCGAGTATTGGCTACATTTAAGGAATGTCCGAGTTTAGAATGTGTACAATACCAAAATTGTATCCGTTCAATTCTTTATTGACAAACAAGAAAACTCTCTCTGTCTTGGCTGTTAGTGAAAGTTCTCTTAAACATTGCCCTGGTTAATTCAGTGCTGAAAAGTATTGCTGAAATGATCCGTGACATTTTATAGGCAAACAATGTCACGAAGAACACAAAATTATGGATCTACTAACTGTCCATTTAACACGTAAAGAAACTTGAAAATGATTCACTAATAGATTCCGTGTAGCCAGTTATGTCTGACCGGTTGCTTGGAATACCTCAACAGTAAGATCAATATTTACAGAAATTCTAATCTACCAATATGTTAATTTGTGACTACTAGTTACATGCTTGTAATATTTAACGTTAGATTTTATTATCTTATTGAACTTTATGATTCATATATACATACAATTTTTAGGTGTGCCATGTAACTGCTAGGAAGGCTTAATCAGAAGAGATGGAAGGAAACAATCGGGAGCAGCAGCAACAGTCGGCTGCACCGGTTCTGCCTCCACCTAAGAAAAGGGTCCAGATGGATAGAGCAGTGAGCATGCAATTTCCACCGGCCAACGCGTCTCCCATCGCAAAGCACAGAACTACGACATCTTTGCTTCTAACGCGATGGCTAGTTTCAAGAAGGGCATCGTCGCCAGTACTTGAATCTGGAGTACAGTCTGGCGAATGCGACTTGGATTATGGAACTCCACCACCCATCGAGGAGCCTCATTGCTACTCCATGTGTCTCAGTGACAGTTCCTGCAGCGAGGAAGGGAATAGTTCACTCAGGATCACCAAGGATATCATTAAGAATTTATTGACGGAACATATGCGCGGATTGGGTGGTCGCCTTCAGTACTTTGAGGATTTGGAATCCGGGAAGATCAACGAGGAAAATTTAGAGCGTGTCTTGGACGGATGCAGACCTCAGGAAATAAACGCTATGTTGTTGTATTCTAGCTTTCTTGGGAAAGGAGCCCTGATTCCGGGATTGCATAAAGCTGGAGCTGATCTCAATCACTCCGAATACGAGCAGGGACTGACGGCTCTTCATCTCTGTGCGTTTAGTAATTCCCTTGTGGGAATTCGTTACTTAATGGCAAATGGCGCCAATGTGAACTCTTGCAAGGTTCACACACCCTTTCATTATGCGGCCTTTGGAAACTCGTACGACGTGGCTCATTTTTTCTTACAACAAGGCCTGAATCAGAATCCGATACAGTGCGAAGAATCCGTTCTGCACGTAGCAACCAGAAGCAACGCTCTGGACGTTGTCACGTTGCTGGCACCAAATAATCCTTGTTTAAATCGTCTGGATTGTCATGGATTAGCTCCCGTTCATTATGCAGCTGACAGAGGAGACGCAGCCTGCTTGAGGGAAATACTGAAAGCCGGATGTCAAGTGAATTTATTAACGCAGAAAGGAGACACTGCACTGCACTTGGCAGCGGAAGCTGGATGTGCAGAAAATTTGGAACTTCTCGTTGAGAACGGTGCTGATGTTAATTTGCGAAATCACAGAGGTCAGACTGCACTTCACTTGGCAGCTAGAGCTCATGCACTCGAGTGCGTCGAGGTCCTATTACGAAAAGGAGGTAGCGATCCAAATGTAGAAGATAATGACGGTAGGACGCCATTGCATCTGGCCTTAGGCAGATCGTTACTCGCCTACGATATCTCGGACTGTCTAATCACCTGGAAAGCTAATGTGAATAAATCTGATAAATACGGCTACACGCCGCTTCACGTGGCTGCATTGAATGAATTATCGCAGTGCGTAGACACGCTTATTCAGCACGGAGGTGACCTGAGCGCTACCACGAAAGGTGGCACCACAGCCCTATCTATAATATTGCGCAAGACGCCATCTTCTTTGAACGCCTTCAAACAGAGGTTGGATGCTTCGATAACCCTACATCAACACGGATCGGCAACTGGAGAAGTGGAATTGCGGTTGGACTTTCATCCTCTGCTTCAACATCAGCACCAGGGAGAGATTGGATACCTGGGAGCATTTGTGAAGGAAGGATACAAGGAAATCTTGGAACATCCACTCTGCCAATCTTTCCTTCACCTCAAGTGGCAAAAGATACGAAAATACTACGTCGGCAGATTATTATTTTATCTGCTCTACGTTCTCGTTCTAACTACTTGGGTCATGACGGTTTTGGCTTACAATTGTTACAACGAATCTCATGGACAGATCGATGATTCTGTCGAACCGCTCTGTCGCAACTCTACCGGATTAAATGGCTTCCTGTATCGACATCCTGTATTCATGGAAGTGGAGTGGTATGTATTAATGGTCCTGACCGTCCTCGAAACTGTTCGAAAATTATTCGGTATCTTTACGTATCGATCAATCAAGCAGTTTTTCGGCCAGGCTGAGAACGTAGTCGAGTGGTGCGTTATACTTTGCGTTTTCGCAACATCCTTCATATACACAGGCAGAACCTACACCTGGCAGAGTCACTTGGGTGCTTTTGCCGTTCTCTGTGGTTGGTTTAATCTGATGCTAATGATCGGTCAGCTTCCAATGTTTGGCGCCTACGTAGCAATGTTCACCAGCGTCCAGGCGCAGGTCTTCAAACTTCTGTTGGCCTACGCTTGCCTACTCTTTGGATTCACTGCGAGCTTCTGCGTGATATTTCCAAGTTCCAAAGCATTCAGCAGTCCTCACACTGGTCTGATAAAAGTACTGGTGATGATGACGGGCGAATTGGACTTTGAAGATCTCTTCTTTCCAATGGAAAAGGATAGTGGGAAAACAAAGGACGGGAGCAGCGCATCCTGGTTTCTTCTTCAAGTTTCGGCTCAACTCTCGTTTGTTCTTTTCGTACTCTTTGTTACCATTGTCCTTATGAATCTTCTGGTTGGCATAGCCGTGCACGATATAAAAGGACTGCAGAAAACAGCTGGCTTAGCTAAGTTGGTACGCCAGACTAAATTAATCTGTGACATGGAGGCTGCCCTGTTTCTGGGTTTACTTCCTCGGGGAGTGAAGAAGATCTTACGTTGGACCACGCTGGTACTTCCGTCTCCATTGCGCGTGGTGTTAACGGTCAGGCCATTGAATCCAAGAGAGACCAGGTTACCAAGAGACGTTCTGTCTGCAGCTCACAAGGTAGCCAAGGAACGTAAGTTCACAACGGGAACGTTGTCCAGTAAGAGAAGCAACAGCACCGCCTACACGTATCTGAAGAGCGACGCTTATTCGACGATTCGACGCCCAGTTAATAATAATGACGATGACGTCTTTGATCACGAAGATACCAACAAGGTTAAGGAAGACATTTTGGAATTGAAAAGAATCTGCGAGCAGAATCAGAGGTTGATTCAGGATTTGCTCATGACACTGGCTATGGATAAGAGATTCAATCCTAACAGAGATGATTTTGAGTGATATGCACCGGACTTCCGGTAATGAAAAAAAAAAGGAAAAAATATAGTCACGATAACAATCGGGCTATTAGCTAGTCCGCAATGATAATGTTTACGAGGTATAAAAAATATTCGACCTTCATTCATTTTTCTCTGACCTTTTCTGGTTTCATAATGGAGACTCAAAAGTTAGTGAGTTTAAAAATTCAAGGTTATTATTCCTCATGAAGTTTGCTGAGTCTTATCGATGCGGAGGAAACATTTCGAGTCGATCGATTGATCATGCTCTTAATAGTTTTGAATTTCGAGAAAATTTTTGAAAACTCATTAGCTTTTGCGTAATCGACAGTAATTTCCTGGGGTAATACTAATTTACGATAGTAATCGAATGGTATCGCACTATAGTTACTGCTCTATCAAAGATATTATTCTTCCGTCCAATGGATTCTTATAGTTTTACACTGTACAGTCAAAGATTAGAAATATTTTATCGTTAAGCATCGCCGTTTATACCGGTTTCGATAAAGACGAATTGTACATAATATTTTGTATTTGTTATTACCGCATACACGGTAAATGCTTTTACTAATAAATTCATAATCTTCCTCTTTACAGAAGAAAATATATGAAATTGTCGAAAATTAAACTGGGAACCATCAAATATTATTGTTATACATAATTGCTAAGCCTCGAAGAATTCGTAGTAATAGCTTACGTAAGTTGACTCTTCGATTTTTCATATTTTACTTTGTACAAATTCTGCAATCCGTGAGTAAGTGCGGATTCAAGATACACACACGAGAATTACGTGAATACAATTTTTTTACTGTAGATCGCTCAAGCATAAATATATATCATTATTATGATATAAACTGTACCCCGGAGCACGTGTTCACCGGTCGTACCGGCTTTACGTAAGGAAAGTAACTACGACCGTATACGAAAACAACGTTTTAGAGTAATTTTGTAATTTTATTTAAAGAAGAAAGAAGCCCAATAGAGCGAACTACGCTGCCACGAAGGTCGGAAACGTTTAATCAAGTTTAGTCAACTCGAGAGACGTGTGGCAATTGCAAAGAATGCCATCCTTACCCAATCGTTTGGCACGAGCCTAAATTCACTTTGGATTTCAAGGTCTGTGCAGGAATATTTATTCCTGTAACGTCGTATAGAAATTGCACGATTCGTTCGTAATATGTTATTATCGAAGGAACCATCGATTAAATACTTTACAAGATCGGTTAAACGGCCTTTTGGCGAAGTCTGCTTATTACTCTTTTTTTTTCATCTCTCAATTTCAAAACCCCGGGAGACTCGAGAGAAGCGTTCAGGGTTCAGCTGCAGGTCATGAGAATCGGTCTTGAGTATTACTTCTGCTACTAGAATTAGCTTGCGTCGTTGAACGATGTAAAACAAACTGGAAACTGCATAACAATACGCGGTAATCGTATGAATAAATATTTGGACATACCTTGGGGGTATTGTGTCAATCTTTGAATACCTGCTTAAGGATGTCGTAAATCCGTTATGTTCTGTTTCAGTCCTCCAGTCATGTATGATAATTATATGCTCGGTCATATATCCTGTTCTTATTTTCATTCAATTTGGAATAGAAAGTCCATATTTTGTGTTGTTATAGGAAGCTCAAAATCAATCGTGCGTCCCCCAGTAAGTTTTTGACGAAGTTCGTTGCTGATTTATAAAACGTTAAGGCTGGGGTTACGAAACGTAATGAATGCTTGAGACTCGAATGTCTGGGAATGATTCGCCGGGTCGATTACGTTGAAGCGCAAAAGGCTGTAGTTAATGTTTAGCATTTTCTAAGGACTTTAGATTCTACTATATATGAGTGATCTTTGCTGATGTTCAGTAAAGCGTAGAAGATCAAGATGAGTGGAGTGAAAAAAAAATATATATTGCGTTCCTTTGGAATGTTTTTTATTTTCGTGTTGCGCGCTTCATCATTTTGATTGACATTTGGAATAACGGATATTAAGTAGGTTTTACCCTCGAGGCAAAAGAACAACGAGGAAGACTTTTAGATACTTTCGAAGACGAGTGGGGGGGCTCCTGGGTCCATGGATGTAACTAGTAAAGTTCTAAGGTTACCATCTGCTATTTTCTAGAACGTTCTAATTTTTAGTCTTTTGGGGTACGTCGAGCTGCGAGAACACTGCGAAAAGACTGAACGAAGAATTTGACGCAAACGGGGAACTTTAGTTAAAAGCAAGTGCTGCAAGTGTCCAAATATATTATTTCAAGTAATTCATCTTACGCGTGGCAAAGTCAAACCGGTTTTCTGGTAATTTGTTGACGTTCATCTGCGAATAAAAATTACTGATTAATGTCCTTCATGATTTCTGGCTATTTTGGAAGTCGAAAGAGTCAAAGTGATTTTACGACCTGAAAGGTGTTCCCCTTCCATTCGAAAAACAGAAAGTCAAACTGAACACTAATTACACTTCGGGAATCCCGTTACATGGTCAGCCTGAGTTAGTACTGCTCGAGCTCGCGATGAAAAATTGCCTCCGTCAAATTGAATTGTTAGTGGAAAATGCAGCGTAACTGTAAAAGTCAACGAGTGGAACGGCAAACATTTCAGTGTGAATTCCTCGCTCCGTGAAGTCTCAATAGAGGACGAAGCGTGTCGGTTTCAGCGCCTCTGAGCGTCGCCAGTGGGACAATACAGAAATGTGCTCGTGGACATGACAGTGACTGCGGTGCGTTTCGAATGACTGGAGCACGCGCTGATAGCGTTATCTGTTTCCCGTTTGTACATCGTCAATGACAGTTTTAGGAAATACCTTTGCGAGTCGGCCGACCATCATGGAGAACACGGAGATGCACACGCTGCATCCACCAACCGAATTAAACGGGAAGCTGCGCAGGAATTCATCATCGAGATTGGCAGAGTTCGCCAAGATAAATCATCTCTCAGCTAGACTGTCGCCAGTTTCCAAATCAGCCAGAAATTTTATCCTGGGCAATCTGCAGGACAACTACAACTGGATCGATCCTGAAGATGGACGTTGCACGAGAGACACCTCAGAGATAGATGCTGGAGAAGCACCGCCGATCGACGATTCCCTCTTCTTCGACAACCTGGAGTGTCTCCGGAACGTGAAGATCAACAACAAGAGCATCAAGTCATCCCTGTGGTCAGCGGTCAGTGTCCCAGAGATGAAGCTGCTACTGGATATGGAAAAGGGTAGGCTGTCTAAAAGTTCAGATGGGTATATACTTCCGGAAAATACTACTGCCAGGTTCAAGAACATCGCATACATCTGGGCGTGCTTCAGGAACCTGACGGACATCCTGCCGACCCTGGAAGCCTTGGGCGCGGATCCACAGTACGTGGAGAAGCAGACGGGAACGAACGGCATCCTGGCTGCTTCTGTGGCGGACAGCGTCTCTTGTCTGGGATACCTCGTGGAACGTGGTGCTGATGTCAACTTCGTGAACCCAGTGAACAACTACAGTCCGCTTCACTTTGCTGCCTGTGGAAATGCTGGGAATTCCGTGAGATTCCTACTGAGCCATGGAGCCACGTTGTCCACCGCCTGCTACGACGTCGATCCTGTTTTACACTGCGCCGCCAGAGCGCAATCCGTGGACGTGGTGAAGATTCTACTGGAGCACGGTGCCAGTGTCGTGCAGAAGAATCATCCAGGAGAAACGCCACTTCACGTCGCCTGCCTGGCCCAGTCTGTACCTTGTGCTGAGCTTTTGCTGAAGTCTCCTGGAATCGACGTGAATGCTGTCGATCGTGTTCATAGATCTCCACTTCATTATACAGTGATGAATACTGACTCTTCGGTTGATTTGATCGACCTGCTGATCAAACATGGGGCTGCAGTTAATGCCAGTGACAAGGATGGCTTCACCCCCCTGCATATCGCAGCCCTTAACGAACTGTCGAATTGCGTTGAGGTCTTGGTGTGGGCTGGCGCCGACGTTAGCGCCACTACGAAGACCGGTGTCTCTGCACTTAATATTATGCTTCGGAAAATTCCAGAGACACTGGAAGTCATCAGGCAGCGATTGGACGCGTCGATTAAATTGCGACGTCCGGTTCCCCATAATCGAGAATTCGAGATGCGATTTTACTTCGACTTACTCTTCCCGAGCAACAACGTCTGCGAGACCAGCATCATCAACACTTTCGTCGAGGAACATCAAAAGGATCTTCTCTCGCACCCTCTGGTGATGGCGTTTCTTCATTTGAAGTGGGAGAAAATACGAAAGTTTTATCTGCTCAGAATATTTCTTTATATTCTCACAGTCGTATTCATGACAACCTATGTTCTCACTGCTCTGGCGTACAAGTGTTACAATCACAGCGGACTGGACGCTTCGAAATTATGTACAAACAAGCGTATATCTGGGATTTTCTTTCGTAAATCAATTATAGAAGTGGAGTGGTACATTTTATTAATTCTAACCTGCATCGCCATTCCGCGCAAGGTATTTGGATTTATGGTGCATCGATCGGCCAGGCTGTATTTCTCTTGTATTGACAATATACTGGACACCATTGTTATAGTCAGTGTTTTTGCCACCTCGTTTGTCTACACCGGAAGAACGTACGACTGGCAAAATTACGTGGGCGCGTTCGCTATACTTTGTGCCTGGACCAATCTGATGCTGATCGTTGGTCAACTTCCGACATTTGGTACCTACGTCGCCATGTTCACTCACATACAATTCGAGTTCGCTAAGCTCCTATTGGCTTACTCCGGATTGCTGATCGGTTTCACTGTAAGCTTTTGTGTCATTTTCGTCGGGGAACCGTCATTCGGCAATCCCTTAACAGGACTGATAAAAGTCCTCGCCATGATGGCTGGTGAATTGGATTTCGAAGGATTGATCAATGAGCCCGATCGGGTGGATGACGATTCGCTCGCGGTTTATCATCCGCTCTCAGTCTGCTCGCAAATACTCTTCACTCTCTTCATAGTCTTCGTCACAGTTATTTTGATGAATTTGTTAGTGGGCATCGCCGTTCATGATATTCAGGGTCTGCGTAATCATGCAGGACTCATTAAACTAGTACGGCAGACTAAGTTAATCTTATTTTCGGAGATGGTCTTGCAGAGCAACACGATTCCCTTTGCTGTACGAAAGTGGCTGGTTAATCACAGGATTGAGATCCAGAATTGGAAACGAGTCCTAATCGTGAAACCAATGAACCCGCTGGAAAAACGTTTACCAAAAGATATACTGAAGGCAGCATATGAAATTGCCCAAAAGAACGAGCCCTTTTCTATGGATGACAACGAAATGGCACCTGACGATTATTCTGTAATGAAACGAAAAGTACTCGACCAGGATCTTGATTCGAGAGCTCTGGAGAAGATATCTCAGCTAGTGAAAATCAATGAAGATGAGATAAAAGTGATGAAGGCATATCTCCAGGATACCAACAAAATGCTTGAAGATCTCATCAAGCGATTGGACACCGAAAATCGCATTTAAAGAATTTAGATACACACAGGCAGAAATGGAAGATCATTTGATTCCTTGTAACTAAGCACATTCAACCTACATACGTCATTGACTTCTCTGAAATGGTTCTTGTGATTTTTTACGCTTAAAATGCATTTATAAGACTCTTTTACTAGACTTCCTTTTCTTCTTAGTCCTGGATAGGTGATAGGGTAAATTACAAGGCAATGGTCGAGGATATTCCACTCGTGGATTCACAGTTTATCGATACTTAAACGCGTACCTGGATTCTATCGTGAATATCGATATCAAGTATAATGTTTATACCGGTACTAACGAAATATTTTATACCGAACCTTATGATACAACCATATTACATTTTTTTGGTAAGCAAATTTTGATGATAAACCGTCCACATTTTGTGTGTCGTCCCAATACAATATCCAGCTGAAACAATATATGCTAGGATTACTCATGTTAATTTTGTTTGTCTTTTCAGGTTATATTTCCTCTAATTTTCACGGGCTTGACTGACGCAGTGGATGTGGAAGCAATTGTGACTGGTGGCGGAGTTACTAGCCAAGCTGGTGCCGTTCGTTGGGGGATTGCATGGGGTCTCAGAAGTTTTGTCAATTCAGAGATGTTGGAAAAGATGAGAGTTGGTGAGTATATGTGTTTAATTTGTATAAATAAAATAAGTTTTATGCTGAACATAAATTATGGTTTTACAGCTGGACTATTAACGAAGGACCCTAGAAGTCGTGAAAGGAAGAAGCCTGGACAGGAAGGCGCAAGAAGGAAATTCACCTGGAAGAAACGTTAATGGATTCCTATAGGGAAATTTTAACTATCATGCCTATTGACATACTTCAGTTGTCTAGTAAATCGTTGTAGCTCATTATTCGTGGACGTTTCAAAGTTCGATTCTTATTCCATATGATTTACCATACACTGTATGACTATATTAACAGTTATAGAGTAGGATCGCATTTTTTTTTCTCTGAAAATACATCAGTTATCACAATAATGACCAATATGTGGATCACGACGTAGGATATTTAATTAGACATTTATTGGGGAAAATAAATTTAATTGAATTTATATGCTAAGTACTCCTTGCAGTCATTTTTACATTTTGTTCATCGGTGTAATTCCTAACAGTCTCAGTCCCTGAGCAAGAACATTTTTTGCACTGTGGAAAAGTAACAATCGTTGTGATCCTATGTCTGATGGCATATGTTTTATCTGTAGCACCTTCAATGCTTTGTTTATTGTGTGACTGTGAAAGAAAACCACTGTTTGTATCCTAGATTGTACAGTTGACATTTATTCTGATATTACTGTACCTCAGGCGAAGTAGGTAATTCACTAGAATGTGTGGTTCTAATTCTTGATGAGCTCGGAAAATGATTTCATCAAATCTACCGATATCGGTTATTAGATCGTCAACAGTTGGTTCTTGTAAAACTGAAGGATCACATTCGGATACCAGTTTAGCTCCACAATTTTCTTCTAGACTTACTAGTCGACAATGCACGTACTGCAGTCTTACACCCGTATCACCTTTCATCTAATAGCGACAAGAATAATATATATAATTTTATAAGATAATGTTAAAAAATTGTGTAAAATGTCCTTACGTCCGAAAGGGTATTCCAATCAAAATCATAATCGCGTTGTCTCTTTTGTTTTAAATCATTAATTATTATTGCAGAAATTCCAAGTATCTCTGCACTGCTATCATTCTCGTCTAACGAAACTTTGGTTGCTGCAAATAAGAAAATTATTATAGATGGCTTAAGTACTTTAATTTTTAATAATAATTCTGTTAAATTTTAGTTTGATTAGATTTTCGTACTTACTCGGAGATTGCATTTGTTTTTCTTTCATAACAATTCGACTCTCGTCTAAAATGCTTTTCAAAAATACTGCCGTTCCTTTTCGCGTACTCATACCGCGAAGTTTACCAAATTTTACATGCTTCAGTCGATTTGCCCAGGGCAGTTGCATTTTATTTAGTATATATATTAGGTTTGTAAAATGATTCGTTTGCGAATTGTCTACTACATAATACATGTTATCGAAATTGTATCTTTCGAATCTGTCAATGGCTGCAGCAATGTCACGTGTTATATAGAGAGTGGAGCCGTCGCTTTTTATCACAGGAATATCTTTTTCATCATTGACACGCACAACTTTTCTATTCTGATCGTCATTTACTAATAATTTTAAGTTTTCCATTTTAGAAATTAATGTCTTTAATTTATCTGCATTGTACATAGACTCCCAGTGATATTCGTCAAACGTAATACCTATTCTGCTGTAAGTTTTTTTTAATTCGTCTACTGTATACTTTTTAAATGTCTCCCATTGCTCAATATTGGTGTTATTACCAAGTTCTAATTGTCGGAAAATCTCCCTAGCCTGATCAGCAATTTGTGGTTCCTTTTCTGCCATTTTATTAGCATGAACATATGCTTTGTACAATGATTGAATGGGTTCGTTTTTTATTGTCTCCTCAGAAATATTAGACATGTTAAGACCAAGTTGAACGAAACCAATTTGCGTTCCCCAGTCACCTAAATAATTAATCCTTCTTACTCTATTATTCAGAAAGTCATTTAAATTTGCTATAACGTTTCCGATTATCGTTGAACGTAAATGCCCGACGTGAAATGGCTTGGCTATGTTAGGCGAGCTAAAATCTATAACAACAGTTTGTGGATTATTAGAAAAACTTGGCGGTTTGACACTATGAAAATTACTCTCCAAAAGTTCTTTGATAAATTCATTTCTGGGTATATGAAAGCTCGCGACTTTTTTCACTTTTGTTTCAGATGGACCAACGTATTGCATAAAATCGTCTGATGGAATTTTGTCAAAATTTCGAACCTCATCTTCTAAATTATACTGTTTTGTTCTCAAAGGCAATTGGAACGAATATGTTCTGTCTGGTGGATTGTGTTTTAATGTAAGATGTGATAAGGCAGTGCATACATCTATCGCTGACAAAGTTTCGGACGAGTGGAACACCTACAAATAATTATACGATATTAGTATTCAAACATTAGGATAGGTTTTTTAAATAATTATTTTGCAGATATATGCAGAAATTATTTAATAAGAATACCTTGTTATATATTATCGATCTTATTTTACTGCTCATTTCTCTCACTATGCTTAGCTTTTTTAGAATATAAACGTTATGTTCGAGTCAATAAAGCAATTTGAACAGCTTTTAGGTTATGACTACTCGCCGGCCAGCAATTCGCAAACCGGGTACTGCAGCATCTGAATGTGGAATCGGCTCCAAGAAAACTATTGTAAATCTATACTAGCCTAGAATAAAAATTGGTATATAACCTTGACGGAAATTAAGAGAAGATCAAACTATATCATCGTCTATAAGAAAATCGACTTAAACATCTACGAAAGTAATAACCCATAAGTAACGGCATCGCCAACGTAAGATAAAATGTCTCATGAGCACTGTTATCGAAGATCAATCAATTTCCTGTGATCTAAGTGTGGTAGTCTGTCTAAAAATTTTTTCAAATTTTTTAATGAACAAAAATTTTTTAATAAATTCGAAATGTTAAAATTCATCGCGTAGCATTGATCAGCGTAGTGGCATGTGCGTCATAGGAGTTTGGCGCTGACGCAGCGCACTCGTAGGCAACTCGTGGTGCCGACGGTTGTGCAGTAGAGGATAGTCAAGTGTAGTACTGGGCACTGCTAGGCACAGCATTGGGCGAGGACGGGAACAGGAGGGCTGTCAAGCGGAGCAGGAGGCTTCGTCGTGCGAGACGTAGAGAGGGATAAGGCCGGGTCGGCCATTTTGGCAGATCGTGGGACGTGGGAGCTAGAGCCACCAGTGAGCAGAGTCTCCCAGCGTACTGTCTACCAACTGCCTACTGTTGCCGCTGTCGTCGCCGCTGCCGTGAGCTGAGCTGTCGTCCGCCCAGCTGAGCTGTTAACGCGCGCGAGCGAGCTGGGCTCTGCGATCGCGAAACCGCAGGAGAACGAAAGTAGCGAGTGAGCGAGTTGGTAGATTAGCCGGGGTGTCTATCCGGATAGAAGCCGGAGCGCAAGGATATAGGAAGCAAGAGATAAAAAGGCAAAGGAAGAAAGGGAGCGCGACAGTCGGGTTATAGAGAAGGGTGATCTGTCTCCGATCGGTATCGGCGAACTCGAGTGCGTGAGGCGTGAGCTAGCAGTGCCAGTTCGGTTTTGTTTTTCGAAACGTGTGCTGTTGCGGGTACCGGTCGCCTGTGACCGCTGTGTTAACGAGTCGCGAGGTATCGAGCCAAGGAAGAACGTGCTGCGGAACAGAAGTTCCACCGGAGGACGACAGTATGGCGGGACAGACGATAAACGACAGACTTCTAGCAGCCAGGCATAGCATCGCCGGCCAGGGCCTAGCAAAATCCGTCTGCAAGGCGACCACCGAGGAAATGATTGGGCCAAAGAAGAAACACTTGGACTGTGAGTGTTTTCTATGTTAGGTTAGGATTCCGTAGGGATCCTGTATACGTTGCCAGGAGTTCGCGAGCCGGTCGAGGTCGTTCACGAGCGACCTGAATCGAGTCAAACGGAGACCCTCGACTTCATCGCATTTCCAATGGCTCTTTGCTGGACATTCTCTCAAAAATACGTTACACGTAGTCATTGCGTTAGCCTCTTGGGATGTATATACTATCTCACAAGTCAAAATGCCATTAGGCCCGTCGCTTTGTGTGGAGTAACGATCTTCTGGGTTCTACAGGCCTTTCATCAATTCTATGGACAAATAACCTGACGTGCTTTTCTTACCAGTGAACCAACTGTCTAAATCTCCATACTCGACTTGCACCTGTAGCTACTTCATTTTCGAAAAAATCGTTACCTTTCTGAAAGAATCCACAATGTCAGCCTTCGCTTTCTCCCCTTTATCAATAAATATTATTACAAAGCCCCCCACAAGCACTAAACTACCTTTGCCGTTCAATACACACTCTCAAATAATATAGTTCTCTATTCTATTCTACGATTAACCTTGGATTCGATTCTTGGCGCGGTTGAGTCTACACTGAGAGGACCCTGTCTGGGTCAGAGTGTGGATGTCAGAGCTTCCTTATTCAATCCCAGCCGGCATCGATTGTACTAAATCGTACAATCGTTGTCATCCCTTTATTAACCGTCACTCAGAAGTGACATTTCGATTAAATAATAAGATAATACCTATTCGCCAATTCGTCGATCCAAAGGCAACTGCTCACCAGTTTCTTTCTCTCGTTCACACTAAAATATTTCTCATTGAAGCGCCACGGCAGTTTCCAATCCATTCAAACCGGTCTGTGAAGTCGCGATGAAAAGCACACTGGACGCGAAGGTACACACGTTCATACGCCACATGTTTACGTTCTACGAAATCTGGTAAAAGCTTCAAACAGATATCTGTTCTCTTGTATCAGTTTCTACGTTACTTCAAACGGAACCGAAAACGGGAACCTCGTTCCTTTATTTTAATTCTCATTGCTTAAAATTCTATAACGGTCGCTGTTGCTAATTATATTACATTCAGCAGCGGCCACTAATTATTCGTTCCAGGCGCCTCCTAGCGTTTGCTTTTTTATTGCCTTGACGTCTATCGATTTGCCGGCTTCCCGATTTCTTGTCACTGGTGACCTGTGACGTGATAAACTATCACGAACCTGTTTCGACGACAGGTGGATCTGCCAACAGTCTTCAGTCACGTGAATCCATTTTGTTAAATACAAAAATTCTCTTTTATCGACAGACCCTCACACTTGGGATTAATTTCGACTCTCACCTTGCTTAGCTGGTAACGTAAACGTAACGTCCGTAGAAATTACCGATAGGGAGTATTATCATAGACTCTCATATCAGTTCAGGCTTCCGAGAATCAATACAAAAGCTGACCAATAAGTTTATTTCTTAGGGTAACAAGGTAGAGACAACGAAAGTGCCGCATAGGAAGTTTCGTAATGCGTAACACGGTTTATCTTTTTTTCACTTGATCCTGGTGTAGGTCAAGGTCGGGATCAATGTGAATCGGGCCCGAAGCTTCTAACGTAGATGCGCGCGTCGCTTGGATGAGACTTAAGGAGCAAAGAGGAGACTGAACGGTGGAAGAAAAAAATAATGTTGAGCTAGAAGGAGGAACGGCGGTAACGGGTTCTTGCTTGCACTCGACTCATGCGAATCCGTGCGAAAGTGAAGGCAACTTCGAATTCGTTGTGTAACGCGAGACTTACACTCTCTCGTGCGCACTCCTACCCTTAAGCCTGTACTACGTCCCTACGCCGCGGCGTCCTGTATGTAACGAAGAGGGAAGAAGGGAAGCACGGAACTCGCCACGACGCGACAAGAAAGCCTTTCTATCGATCTGCTCCCATTTTTTTCTTTTGCTCCAATTTCACTACGGTCTCTTGAACTCGCTCGTATGCCCAATTGTGAAATCCTAATCTCGCCCATGCTCGCTGGTCAAATTATGCTAATCAAATTGGACGTCTCCTTTAGATCTTTTGCACTCACTCTTTTCTAAGGCTTTTAGTGTTTCGTATTATGATCATTGTTCGGATACTCTTTTCTTTTTTAAGGCATTAACAATTATTTCCAACTGCAAACATAGAACCGAATGTTTTTGGCACGATCGTTCTCACTACCCGTGTGCCGTAGTACCTTGTGTATTCTGCAATCTGCATACATTTCATATGTATCTCTTAGTTAGCACTATTTCGGTCTGCCACTTTGGTACTCTACTGAGGATACCATGTCTTTTAATTCTGACATCTAATAAAACTAGTATAATAAAATGGAATTTTGACGTTAATTTGGATTTATTTGAAATCGAATGATAAGAAAGGTTAATATGGTAATTCGATCGGAATGGAATTTGATAAGTTTGGCGAAAATATTTATTTAATATTTTTTGGTAGATTATTATTATGAGTCAGGCAGGTAATCTATACGTATGGATGTATATATAAAAATCTCATTCCTGCCTGTCGGTTCCGAATAGGCTCAAAAACTACGAAACCCATTTTCATGGAATTTTTACTGTAACGAGGAGTAGAGGAAAAACGTTAGTTAAATGCTGCGTGAAAGCTACAGCTTTTAATATTAAGCTTACAAGATACTTTTTTTCTATTGCTAAGCCTTGACAAATGTTGGTTTTATTTCGAATGCATTTTCGACGCGAGAATTTTTATTCTAGTGTATTGTGAACCGTGGAGTATGACGTCATTTTGCACTGTACTTACAATATATCCACGTGGACGCATGATAAGACTCACATATTTGAGCGTCAAAGTTGACTCGCGCAGTATCTCAATAGCGTTCATTGTGCAAATTCAACTCGAAACGAGCCAGTAATTCGTTCGATCGATTTTATGACCTGAAATCAGAATCACTACTCGAGTCCAGTATCTGTAGTCTCATCGCGTAAAGCTGTTTGGTAACTACGAATAAATTGAGCAAATATCGATTTCGACTAATTTTCATATAATTCAATCGCAACTAAATTCTGATCATAAGTGCAGTCACTTTGTTGATTATTTATTGATACATGGTAATCTTTGGGTGTGGTTATCTCAGGTTATCGATCCTGGCAAACAGACGTTCCTTCATCCTGAAGTTGCCAATAAGAGAGGATTCGGCCAAAAGGAAGTGTGTTTTTTTTTTAAATGGAAATATGCCAAGGCTGTCTTATGGGATATCTTCTTGGATCAATGGAACATGTCATATGGATACGTAGAAGAGAATTCAATGTCGAATGATCAAATGATTCTCATGTAGTGGATCTTATAGTGATCCTCAACACAAAAGGAGACAGACAATGGCGTCTCGATTAATACCATATGCGCATGTAAATTAAATGAATAAATACTAAATGTCCCTAGTGGCTCTTTGAGATTTTCAAAATCCTTCTTGAACTCTTCTTAAGTCGGTATAACAATTTCCTAACTCGATTAAAAATTTGTTTTTAATCTCCTCCCCCCCCTCCTCCTCCCCGCCCCTCAAGTTTTTCCTCAAACTTCATTGCCTAATCTTTGTCATTCTTCTCTCGTTATAAATAGATATCCTCAAGGTCCCTCGTGTTTTCACCAAAAACTTCGCCGCTGTTGCTCTCAATTTTTGCACGACCCGTTAAAACTCCCAACACTGTCCCACGGACCTCGGATAACGTATACTTTTCGCAAGTGCACTGACTTCGTCCACTGGTTAGTCATCGTCTGGAGAGAACCGTTCGGAGGAGAGTGTGTGATTCAGAGCTAATGAATTTCTTTACTGTACAAATACACATAGCCGTACGCAAGACCAAAGCTATAATAATTTCCAGCTTAGAAGGATTCTTCGTAAACTGTAAAAATTGTATTGAAACCTATTTTTCAATTTTACCCAAAAATTCGTTATTTTCGTACAAACACAGTCCAAGTCGGCCAGCATCAATTTTGAGAATTCCAGCAACCATTAGTATCCTATTACCGTTCTCGGTAGGCAAACCAATAGAATTCTTCGTTCGACGTAGTCCGTAATTTCAATAACCCAGGTTCGCTATAGTCAGTATGACGCTCCCCGCCATCATTTTTGTTCGTCCAATGCAATTCTTTTTTTTCATCTCAGTATACTCTGCTCGACTTTCGACACTCTACCGTCCTTCAATACTCGTGCAGTCGCCTTTCCTTGTGCACTGGAAATCGTACACAATCGCATATACTCGATATTATGCATACTGAACATTTTAAATAATCGACGTGTCCGACGATACTAATGAATAATGAAAGTCGTTCATTATCCGACAGTCATTAGCTCGCGTACTTTCTTACGGCCTTTTGAAATGCTTTCAATGAATCTTGTTGTTTTGAATTTATCAAGACCCACCGAGTCCATCGTACCCCTGCAATGTGTAATAAATACTCATTCGTCCTTGATGCGCTTGGGGACATTTTTTTGTATCGGCTTATCGCTCTTCCAGGGTAGCCGCTTCTGTTTTTAATTGGAATTCTTTTCTCTTATCCCCCCGTCGCGTAGACACAACAATCCCCGGGTCGCGTATCTATAGGTAGAATTTACAAGGACGATTCTCAGCGATAGGAAGAGAGCAACGATCTCGTGATCCGTTACGATCCAGTTCTTATGGAATCACATTCACGAGGAAAGTCCGTAGTACTTTCTTTTGATATCCTCATTTACTTTTACTCTTGACGCTTCCGTGAAACTACTGCAGGTATTTTAGTTCCCGTTCGTTAATCCCGTCGGCAATCGAGACGCTCGGGGAGATCGTCGTTCGGAGTAACGAAAGTTCGGTTAGTCTGGTAACGTAACTCTCTGCTCGTTATAACGCCGTGAACGCAGCATCCGTTCTACCGGAGTATCTATAGAGCCGGGGTATTTTGGTCTTGCGCGTATTTCGCTAAATTCGATCATTTAGGCAAATACGTAGCGTTCGAAGTAAAACTTGAAGCAATCACCCGTGCGTTAATTTGGCAAAAAAAGATGACCTAATGACCATGACCGATTTAAATGTTACGAAAGCCGTTACCGGGCAGCCTATTCGAAGAAGTCACCTTGCTGCGCCTCGGCATCTTTTTATTCCAGAATAATAGTATACTTATCTGTATAAATAGAGTTACGTCATTAATTTTTATTGTTTTCACTGCAGCGCTTAGGCTGTTTTCTTATACTCAATGTGCTACTCGACGCCGGCTATAACTGCACCTCACGTAACCGAACGGGTGGTTGCGATTTGATTACGTGGGGGATAGTCGAACAAGGATCGGGATGAATTTTTTTTTTATCAATAATAATAATGATCGCTTTTTTATACGATCTCGATATTTTCTAAAGTCCGATAATTTTCTTTCGACCCAAACTTCTGTGTTATTTTTATTAACTCGAAATAGTAATCGTGTAAAATTGTACTTTGCGAAAACCGTATAACTCTGCGCTTGGACGAAACTCTCTAATGTATGTACTTACATCCTCTTTGGGGGTGGTTGGTAATTTCGTTATTGGACTTTAAAGCAACTTGCTGGGATTCTTCGATACGGCAAATACGACGGTGGCGCTTAAGAATGTGGTTGAACTTCTCTGAGGTTGTCCCTCGTTGGGCTGAGGTCGTGACTCGTGACTGGTCCAGGCAGCTTCACTGTCTCCCTCCCTCTCTCAGCTTTTCTCTCCTCTTACGGTCTCTATGCTATTCTCACATATTTTTCCCTTTGCTACTGCCTCTCTTCCTCCGTCCCTTCCTTGTCTACCTTCTATTCTGATTCTTTTTCTCTTATAAGAAAATCCGTTACGCGAGGTTTTGCTTTATCGCAAAATCCAAACGCCGTCCTTTTCCATGTTAAGCAATTTCTTCGGGATTCAATCGGAATCGGAAACACGGTGAAAAGATTCGGAAATTTCTAATCTGACTGTATTTCAGGTATATACTAAACCCATCTGACATTAAACCCCGTGCACACTGTAATTTTGTCGAGCGACCAATCAGTCCTTGGTAGCAAAATAATCCAGGTACAGTCAAGTGTCTGTACGGTTGGACTAGACTCTGTCAAGGTACTTTGAAGCGACGAAATCAAGGTACAGTCAAGTCTCATTAAATCCGTTTCTACTGCCTCGATACCCGCAATACGTATAGGTATACTTTGCGAAGATAACGAATGAATAATTGTAAAATGAAATAAACATAATATTATAATCGACTTTTTAATAAATGTTTATCAGTAGATATATTAAATGAAAATAATTAAAAACTTGTTTAAGTAAAACATTGATGCTTTAAAAAACATGGAAAATTACAATAGTTTATTATGGAATATTTTTACTCAACGTTTACAATGTTTCCAGTTTCTTCTTCTCTCCATGGTGTCAGTAATGTATAGCAGATACTATCCTCGTAGATATCACGTTGCCAAAACACGTTATCATACACGCCCCCAAGTTACAGATAGGTTGCTATATACACGCAGTCCCCATAGTCCACAGATGATATTTATTCGTGCAGTCCTTTCACAGTTTTACCAAAAAGGAATGTTGGAGTTAAGAAACTTTGTTTTTCGCGGTTTATCATCTTAAAGCCTTATCTGCCTGTGCGAGATATGATAATCAGCAATCGTATCGTCGCGATTGACGATTTAAAAATATTTTCAAAAGAAATTTCGAAAAAAAATTTTACTCTTGTATAACCCTCCGAATGATCTTTTTACAAATTTTCCATTAACGTGACCAACCTCTATCCCTAGCACTTATTTAACTTTTCCTATTCACGTCTGACAATACCTAAGACCCATTATCCCAGAAATATCCGTTGATCCTTAAAAACCACAAGCGAACCATAAAAACTCAGAACAGCCCTTTCCCATCATATAACTACCCTAACGTACAATTTCCAAAACCCAAAGTATTTGCTCTTTTCACGTTTCACCTCCTTAAAAATCACCCTAAAAAATCTTAAAGTTCAGTTAGGCAAGAAGCAGCCAGGGTGTCAGTCACTCACAATCAATTAGGTCACGAGCAGTGTCAGGAACAGTAGTTCCCAGCATGGATCATCGAGTCAATAGAAATAATAAAACCGTGATTCGTCTTCATACTTGGGAATCCAACAATAAGCCAATTATCCCACAGTAGTCATATATCTATCAACGACTGACTATAAAACATTTTTGGAAATTCACGGTATATTCACTCAATTTGTTTTCATAAATTTTTCAAAATTTTCAATAAAATTCCTATGACACTCCTCCCCACCCAGGATCCATTGGATGCACACGTGGCTTTGTAACGTTGCACCCTTGTCACGAGTGCCTGGGCTCTGTGTTGTATCGACGATAAGATTGAAAACGTCAAAAGGAATAATCTCACGGCACGCTTCACACGGTTGCCAGAGTCATGATAGTTAAAGAGAGAGCGAGAAAGAGAGAGAGAAAGGGGAGGCAGAATGAAAGAGAAAGAAAGAATGCAAGGCGTATAATCAGCTGTGGTTTTGCCTTTTGCCGTCGAATAGGTGAATGACTCCTGACGGCGTGGCACGTAATGATGACCTCTGCCCCCTCGCGTTGCACCGAGGAGGTAAATTGGTGGGGCAAAGGGGGGGGGGAGCTATATAAAAAAGATATAATTTGTATGCGACAGGTGCACAGCACCTACATCCAGCATGGAAATTCCTGGCGTCTCCCATGTAAATAACGTGTCTCCACGATAACCCGTGTTATCCGTTCTCCGATAAGAAATCACCTCAGCGTCGTTATCAGCGCTCAAGTAGAATCTGACGGAACAGCTGATCAGCTGCAATCCAATCTAGATCTCCTCCCATTATTGCCTTAAGTTCATGCGTACTGTTAGACCGTAGTAGCAAGATCTGCCTGTGCCAAGAGTATATACATATATATATATATATATATATATATATATATATATATTTTTCACGGTTTTGTTTTAAACACTAACGTTATATCGTGGCCGACGGGAGTGGTACGTATTATGTGATGCGATAGCAAGGAGTGCGTGCGGACCACTTCCGGTGAACGATCGGCATCCTTCCGCTGGAACGATCCAGTCATGCTTTCCTAGCCGGGAAAGAGTTCTAGGGCCCTTTTAGCACTGAGCCAGTCGACTCTCTCGTTCACTTTTTACCTTTATCACTTATCTATATTGTTTATCGTCTAATCCACTATTAGTACTCTTAAGATTATCATAGGCAGATTGTTAGTAACGTTACGGCTTGATTCGGAGGACGGGAGATAGAATCTGTAGGTATCGGTGACGTCATCGAGTCGTTTGTTTCTTTGTCATGTGAAATGTCAAACGAGAAGCTAATTGCGATCTTGTTTGGGAGTATATAATTAGAACGGGATGCTGGGCAAGGTCGAGTACGCACCTCTTGAGACAGATAGCAGC